GGGGGGAATGCTTTTCGAGAAATCCATCTTGTCCCCGAGGACACAGGGCTGCAGCCTGTGGTCAGTTCCTGTACCTCTGGTCAGTTCTTAAGAGCCAAAGAAATAGTATTTGAATATGACTTGGATCTGTGTGGACCACAGCCGAAGATTGTTCATGTGGAGACCTACTGTTCTTCCCGATTCTGTCCTGCATTACAAGATGAGTATAAACATACTTTACAGAAGCACTTGGAGATTCATAATCCTGGAGTATTTCTGAACATCTTTTTATGTAATGAAATCTGTGAAGGGTAACAATGTTTTTTTTGTTGTGTTTTTTTTTTAAGATTTTATTTATTTGACAGAGAGAAACACAGCGAGAGGGGGTACACAAGCAGGGGGAGTGGGAGAGGGAGAAGCAGGGAGCCCGATGCGGGGCTCGATCCCAGGACTCGATCCCAGGACTCCAGGGTCATGACCTGAGCCGAAGGCAGACGCTTAACGACTAAGCCACCCAGGCGCCCCGAAGGGTAACAGTGTTGATCAGGACCTTCACTTCACTTCAGATGGGCATAAAGAATATTAAGAATATATATATATATTTAAATCACAAGAGTTGATAGCTGAACTATTTGAGGGTATCTTTTCCAGCCAAGTTATAAATGCTGCATGTTATCTTTGATTTTTTTATTCAGTAAACAATCTCAGATAAACAGTTGACATGAAGCCTTTAATTCCACTTTGGATCTGATGCCACATACAAAATCCCCCACGCTGTGCTCATGTTTCCTGACATCAGGCAGCCAATGTGGTCATAGTTCTGAGGGCTCCAGGTTACTTACAAAATAGGATTTTCCCAGCCTCCACGATAAATGACAGAGTTTCACATCTGTAATTTCCCAGAATCAGTTTAGGTGGCCCGATTGCTGGGAAAAACCAACTATTTAATCAATAGTAGTCTTTCTCGGATGCAGACTTACAGTCTGAATTTAAATTCCTAATCTAATTTAAATACTATAAATAAGTAGCATTTATACAAATTTGCTTTTAAGTCCATCCACTAATTCTGATATGGACTAAAATCATAGTAAGCTCAGTTCATTCTGATTTTTTTAAAACTTTATATGGAATTTTAGGTAATAACCATCAAACTGTAACATTTCATTTCCATATGTACCCAAACTAACAGTAACAACCCAAAACCCCCAAACTGGAATAATCCTTTCTTATTTAACTGCATTCTGTTAAATGTTTTAAACTCTGGAAGGAACCTTTGAGTCCATCGGTCAGGGCTCCCCCCATTTCACCATGGAGGGAACCCAGGCACAGCGTCAATGACTTCTCTGAGGTACTTGGAGAGAGAGGCAGAGCTCCTGTCCATCATAGCTCATCTGGCCTTGAGGGAGGAGGCATTCCCCAAAGGAAGACAGAGGAGAGTCTCAAGTTCTTCTCAGGCTGACATACAGGCTCACATGACAGGGCTCACACCCTTAACAAGCATTCATTACAGAAGGGAGAGCTATATCTGAAAAGCAACGGAGTAGCTAAAAATGTGAAATGGAAAATGCAGCATCATCAGGATCCTCACTCAAACCAAAACGCTCTTTAACCAAAACTACTTGTCATTTGACATCACACACGTCTTATGTAGGTTACTGTAAACCTTAAGTAAATCATGCAGGTTATGCTCTAATTTTCCTTACCAAAAATCTTTCCCTTGCAGCATTTAACAGCATTAAGTTCTTTGAGCACACAAAAAATGAATTTGCCAGGCATTTTTTTTCTCTCCTACAAACATTAGTGTTTTGGTTTTTTTCCACTACTAGCAATAGTTCAAAGTTTCCATAAGTGCTTTGACATTCCAATTGCCTGTCTTCTCCAAATCAGATAAAACAGTACTGTTTTCCCAGAAGAGAAGTCAGGAATATTTTCTCTTTACAACAAATGCTTATCATAGCATTTAACTTTGGATATAAAGATCTATCCTTCAACTTGTATCTTTAATTTGGGAAATTAGATGGTTTTTTTTTTTTTGCCATGGACCCTAATGTTGACCTCATCATATATACCCTATTTCAAACATTTTGAATTTTTTCCCTATACTTGTATCATGGTATAAAATCATACCAAATGTTTTTAGAAAATTAATGACTTTGATATCAAACACCTACATAGAATCAGGCTTCTATCAGAAAGCAATGTCTTTAATTATATACATAGAAATGAGAGCAGACATAGTGACAGCAGCTTATTGCTCAAGCAGAAAGTGATTCTGCATGCGTCACATAGCGAAAGTTCTAGTAGACAATGTTAGAACTCCAAATAATACCGAATATTCCTAATGCTTAAAACTTTGAAACACAGAGTTGTTCAGGTTAACAGGTCCACAGGATAAAAATGTTCATTGTAATTCAGCTTTTTTGTGTGTGGGGATGCAACATTTTACACCTAATTTCGGTGAGCAGAGGACTCTTGGAATTAGGTACACATCTGATTGCACATATAAATAAATACCTAAGGATTTGCCAAGTGGGTGGAAAGGGTGACAAGAAAGACATTTGTCCCAACTGCTCTCTGGATTACACAACATTGGATGGGTTTTTTCTTCAGTAGGTTCTGCTGAACAACTTTTTGTCGTCGTTCTGAACCAAAACAACTTGATAAGAACGGAAGAGTCACTGTATTAGAAACAGGAGAATATATTTAGGGTGTGGTATTAAAGGATAGTTGCCAACACTGGGTCACAAAATGCCCAGCCTCCTCTTGTCTGGGAGAGCTGAGACTTTGGGGAAGGGAACAGAGATTCTGTATTGTGTTGGGTATGGGAGGGGGATGAGGGGATGTGGGGAGTTAGAAACATTTTGTGTCATCTGTGAAGTTACCCTGAGTGCGCAGGTACAAAAGAATTTGAAGTGGCCCCTATTCAGATGAGGCCAGAGGTGTTTCTTTTATTAGTTAAGGTCATAAAACTTTTAATCAGCTTAAGATCTTGTGGATATTTTTAAACCATTATCACACGCACACACACACACATACACAGATCCCATATTTTCACTATGAGGTACTGGAATCTGTGTGCTGAGGAGGAGGGGGAGTAAGCTGGGCTGGAAAGGTGGCCCTCAGGGCTGAAGCCAAGGCTGCACTCCTGCTATCTGCCCCTACCCCGTGGCCCTCCAAGCTGCCTTTGTGAAAACTGTCATTTCCCTCCTCCTGGTCCTCTTTCCCACTTTCAGGGTAAAAAAGAAAAAAAAAAAAAATCCTTGTCAGTTTTCAGCCAAAGTCTCTGGGTTTTATTCCTAATTACCTTTTGAGAGTTAAATGTATGTATTTTCTCAGCCTTATTTCCCCAACTATGTTCTCTCTGCACTACAGGTGGCAAGTGGTGGCTCTGCTCAGCCTGGGACCCAGGGGTTTCCACCTTCTTTATTTACTGAGCAAAAGAAGTAGGGGTCACTCAACCTCTGTTATGTACGCTGTGGTTCCAGTAGTTTATGCTACGACCTCCTGCCTTCAAGAAGGTCTATTTTAATAATAGATGTATGTTTATTAAGTTTGTAAGTAAAGACCACTGTGTTTGATTCATTGGCATGTATGATTTTGTGGCCAAATGTCCTCTATAAAAAACCGGCTTTGATAGGGCATCATATGGTTATATGGTTTTTCTTTCTCAATGATCTTGTTTTTAAAACGTTGCTGAGGGGCGCCTGGGCGGCTCAGTTGGTTAAGCGACTGCCTTCGGCTCAGGTCATGATCCTGGAGTCCCGGGATCGAGTCCCACATCAGGCTCCCTGCTCGGCGGGGAGCCTGCTTCTCCCTCTGACCCTCTTCCCTCTCGTGCTCTCTGTCTCTCATTCTCTCTCTCTCAAATAAATAAATAAAATCTTTAAAAAAAAATAAAACGTTGCTGAAATTTTCGAGTGGAAGCTGTTGCCTTCTAACCCAGTCTCAGGGCTAATCAGTTCCAACGGCATGCGGCAGTGAGGTTTACCCTCTCAGGGGTCAGTGTGAGGGTCAGGGGGCTGGGCAGCTTCCTCCAAAGCCAGCTCTCCTACTGACCAGCAGGCAAATTCCAAGGGATAGATAGGATTAAGGGCTCCAAAGAGGATTCTGCAGCCCTCCCCCAAGGGAGGATCAAAAACTCTGGTCTAGTTCTGGAACAAAAATAAGCCCCGGCAAAGGAGAAAGTGCCTGTTTGAATAGCATATGTCCCTTCCCAAAGCTCGTGCGCCTTCCAGGCTTACCCAGGGGGACCCCTTTTCAATAGGCAAGTGGGTGCAGTGGATCCAAGCCCGTGGGGGCGGGTTCGACATGTCCTCTCTGGTTTCCTAAGTAAGGTCAGCACTTGTGGGGAAGGCTACCAAACCCCAAACCCAAACCTCTTCTAGCTGCTTTTCGGAACTAATGGATAAACTCTGCCAAGAAGCTCAATGGTGCGCCATGGAGAAAGCACTTTGCACAGACTTCTCTTTGCACACTGTCCTAAGTTTAGGCTCAAAAGGATTAAGGTAATAAAACCTGCTTACATGTTCTTACAGTATTGTCCAGGAAGCAAAATCACCACCCACACAGAGCTAAACAACTCCCCTCCCCCGACTTCACTTCACCTCACCCCCCTTTCAAACTGCCCCATGCGGAGAGTGGGGATCGCTGGTAGGGGTGGGGGCACCAAACTCAGACTCCGTGTAAACACGCCCCAGCAGCACACATGGTCACCCATTAACTCAGAGGAATCTGGGGTCACTGTGGACGGTTTTCTATTAATAGGGGATAAAGCTGCTGCATACATTAGCGGTAATGCCCTGGCTGCCCGCGCAAAATTAACTCCTCCGGGCCAGCAAGAGAAAACCATGTACACACACACACACACACACACACACACACACACACACACACACGGTTTTAGAACCCCTTCCCTTAAACGTGCCAGATCCCACTCCCATCCCGAGTCCAGGCGATTGCCGTCGTTCCCGAGGGATGTCTCCGGGGAGGGAGCGGTAGTGGCAGGAAAAGTCGTGTGCCGATCAGCTCAGCTTCGCCACGCAGACCGCCAGGGCCACAGCCGCCAGCAGCACGGCGCTGAAAACGGTGGCGGCCAGGGCCTTGCTCGGGTCGCAGGGCCCCGTGCGCTCCTGGACGGACACGGCGCCCACCGAGCAGGCGCCGGCGCTGGACAGGAGCTCGGCGCCCGCCGTTTGCCGGGCCTGCACGGTCCAGCGGGGCACGTTGACCTTCATCTCCATGTCGTGGATCATCTCGCTCACCTGAAGGATCTCGCACTCCTGCTCGCGCAGGTCGTCCACGTCGAAGTCGCCCTCCGCCTCGTGTCGCAAGCTGCGGGCGCTCAGGGCGCGCGCCGCTACGCCCGCCGCGCCGCCCGCCACACCGGTGCGCACCAGCGGCCGCCGCGGCGCGTGCAGCGGAAACGCTGTGCTCAGGGCCAGTGCGCGCCGCATGTCGGCTTCCAGCAGGTCCAGGCAGCCGGAGAAGGCCACCCAGAGGCGCTCGAACTCGGCGCGCTCCTCGGCGCCCAGGCCCCGGTCGCGCAGCGCGGCCGTCAGCTGGGCGCGGGTGGCCACCGCCAGCTCCTGCGCCTTCTGGCGCGTCTTCTGCAGCTCCTCGCGCAGGTTCTGCGAGTCCGCCGAGCCGCCGACGGTCAGCACTAGGTGGTGGTAGCATGCGATCGCCTTGTTGAGAGCGTCCAGCAGTGCCTTGCACTCCTCCCTCGCCATGGCTGTGCGCTCCGGCGCGGCCGGGCAGCCCGCGCCCTTCTGCGGTCCACACCCTCAGCGCAGCAGGACGCTGTCAGCCCCGACGGCGGCCCGGGGCCGTGCGACCCGCGCGCTCCTCATGGCCCAAGACTAGCTCGGTGCTTCCGCTGTTGTCGACGGAGCCTCTGGAGACCTGCGACGTGCACCTCTGCGGACCGGACACAGAGAAGGAGCCCCGTTAGCTATCTCTCATCCCCTCGTCCATCCTCCCTCGATTCGCTCGGAGTCACACGCCGAGTCGCTGCACCGCCCTCGCCTCCAAGGTGGCTCTCTGCGAAGCCTGGGTTGTGGTCCCCATCCTCCTCAGGTGCCGTCGCCAGGGCCAGCCGGCCGCGGAGCCGCGCGCTCCGCCTTAGCCGCTGCCAAGGGCTGCTGGGTCGGGTTTCTTAGGATCCGCCCACCCCCGCCGGTCCTCGGAGGGCACTTCCATCCCTTAGACCAGGGATGGGCGGGGCCCCGCGCGGGGAGATCACGTGTAGGTCCCCTATCTCCCACTGCTCCGCTCCCCATTACAGTGCTGGAATACTAGCGCTTGGCAGTTCCAATCCTCCGGTATCGTAAAGATGGGGAAACTGAGGCCCAGGTAAAAAAAGGGGGGCCTAGGTCACGTGGCGTCCATGCAAGTGAGGGAATCAGAATCCAGGGACCCTAACTCCCAGACCCTGCCAGCGACGGAGTGGTGTGCCTCATAGGACTGGGCACCTCCGTCCTCCAAACCTAGCAGTAAAGGGCGATCCGCAGGGCAGGACAGCTCCCGGGTCTCCCCATCCGGATCCAGCCCGCTTTCCAGGGACCAAGCTTGGACCCCACCTCTAGTGTCAGATCAGCTTCGGCCCCGCCCCCTCCCGTTTCAGGCACGCGCAGTCGGCGACTCAGGGCTGGTCGGGCCTGAGTAGGAAGCGCTGTGCGCTGCCTGAGCCCCACCCCGGCTGGGAGGACTCAATGATTGCTCTGCGCAGACGTCACTCTGGATAAGGACGGCCGCTCATTGGGCTGACCAGGTGCGGCTCCGCCCAACGGCGGAGTAAAGAGGTGGGCGGTGGAGCAGAACCGCTGTGCTGGGGTGGTGGGCACGGAGGTGAGAGTCCCGGGCTCGGGAGGCGTCGCCGTGGCTCCGAAAAGGACAGGGAGTGAAACTATGTAGCCTTTTAAGTAAGTGTCCTCGCTCCTGTGTCACCCCGTGCCTCCCTTCCCTCAGGACGGCTGCGCCTCGGGGCCTAGAGGCCGGGCGGGGCCCCGGAGCTGGAAGGGGGAGGGGCTCTTTCCTCTTCGCGGCTAGCGCCCCGCGGCGCCCCCAGGCAGGGCTGGCTGCCCCTGGGCGGCACCCCGAGACCCTAACTCCTTGCTGGCTGGACCGCCCCGCCCGCGCTCTGCGGATCCCGTCGGCAGCCGGGCTCTCTCTGCCCCTGGAGTGCGGGGTGGCGAAGAATGCGCCCTCTGACCCCCGCGACTACAGGACGGGTCAGCGGGTGCGGGGTCCTGGGAGCTCGGACTTGGGGGCAGTGGGCGGGGCAGTCGTTCAAGAGTTGAGTGACCTCCGTGGTTTGCGGACCGCCTGGCGGGGCCGCTGGAAGGGGGAGGATGTGGGTGGGGGTCCGGATCCTGGGGCCTTGTGGTCCCTGGGGGTGGTGAAGGCGCAGGGGAGGGAGGAGGGAATCCCTGCCTGCCAGCCTCTTCAGGGGCTGGGGCTCTTCGTTCTGCTGGGTAAAAATTACTCCAGGAAAACTTAGGCACCAAGAGATGTTCCGGACTCTAGATCTGTTCAGTTCTTTTCGTTGAACATAGACTGCCCAAGGCGCGCGAGCTGGTAATGGCCCCTGGAGATGTTGGGGACTTGGGCACTAGCAGCCGGTGCTGGGCCACGGAGCAAACGACGCGTCTTCATTGAGGATTTAGGACATTCAGGGAAGGAGGGGCTCCTGAGACTGGAGGGTCTACTAGTTTGCATGCGAGCTGGGGTTTTCCAGGTTTATGGGTTTCATGGGGAGAGACCCTTATTTTGATTAACTCACCCCAGCCCCAGAGAAGAGCAGGGGATCTTAGTGGGATATTAGCGTTTTGAGTCCACCTTCCCCAGCATGGTATTGAGGCGGTTCAGAAGATCCAGAGCGCTGGGCCCCAGGGCTCCCTCTCCCTCTGCGCTCTGTCCTTTAATCTATAGATTTGGGACCATTTGTGGCCAGGACCTGGACGCTCCTGGCCTTGGCCATTCTCCATGGTGGAGGGTCTTAGCCACCCACTGACCAGATGGGGGCCTTGACAGGGAAAGAGTAGTTTTCAAGACAAAATAGATAGAAGGAGGGAGAACCCATCACTTTGGGGAGCTTTAGGGACAGCAGAAGGATACGAAGCTACAGAGATGGGTGGCAGGCCAGAATGAGAGGCCCTTAATGCCAGGGAGAGAAATTGAGAGTTCATTTAGTAGGGAGTGGAGGGGAAATCCTGGAAGAATGTAGTAGCCCCCCCCTTTAGTCCATGGGGGATGTGTTCCAAGACCCCCAGTGGATGCTGGAAACCTCGGATAGTACCAAACACTATACTCCGTTTTTTTTTTCCTATACCTACATACCTATGATAAGTTCAATATATAAAGTAGGCACAGTAAGAAATTAACAAAAATAACTAACAAAATAGAATAATTATTAACAATATACTGTGATGAAAGTTATGTAAATGTGGTCTGTCTCTCTTTCTCTCTCTCTCAAAATATCTTGTGCTGTATTCGTCCTTCTTGTGATGATGTGAGGTGATTAAATGCCTCGGTGATGAGATGAAGTGAGGGGAACGATATAGGTACTGAGTGTAATGTTAGCTGCTATTGACTTCCTGACGATATGTCAGAAGGCGGATATTCTGTTTCCAGACCCCAGTTGACCACAGAGAAGTGAAACTGGAAAGCAAAACTGAGGATAAGGGGGACTCCTGCCCCGTAGTAGACCTCAGTGTTGGAAAGGTTGCTTTGCCATCTTTCCTGTGGACCAGTCTGAGTAAGATCAGGAGGGCAGAGGCCTCTGAAGGAGAAGGGCAGGATGGGAGCAGGGACAGATACTGTGTCTAGCCTCAGTGGCCGGAAAGCAGTTGAGGCTCTGAAGTTGAGCAGATCCCTTAGGTGAGCTCTTCTGACTCTGGCTTGCCACCAGAAATCATCCTGCCTGGCAGCTTCACTGGGAGAGCAAACAGTACTGTCTGCATAGGGCCTGGGGGTCAAGGGCTTGATTGTGTCTCCTTGTGGCTCTTGGACTGTGTTGGGCTCATGAGTGCAATTCCTGGGTCTTTGTTATTCACACATCTGCACTGTAAGTATTTCTGTGGGTCTTTCCCTTTGTTTATGAATTACCAGGATTAGGTTGGTGTTCGGTAACTCAGTTCTCTCCTAGAGGAGCAGAGGAATGTGACCATGTGAGGATAGATCTAGAAAGGATTCAGACCCAAATCCAGGGGTGGTGGTGCTCCTCCAAACTCTCCTGCTCCCTTAGTGGTTACACCCCTCTTCCAGCTCCGAGGCCTTCCCTCCCTGTGTGACTCTCCACATTCCAGCTGTCATAGCCAGCTCTGAGTATATAGTTTGTTTCTGGCTTTCTGCCGGTGCCTGCGTGGCTGCCTGGGGTCAGCCCCTCACCCTCCCCTGGATATGGGCAGTGGATTTCCAGCTTCTCTGAGAGATGACCCCTCCTGGGAGCTTGAGCTTCCTCTAACACCCCACTATCATCTTGTTCCAGTGGACGAACAGTTACAGCGTGCCTACAGGGAGCCACGTGGCCAGGCACAGACTGGACACTTTGAAGTAGAGCTTTGAGAAAAATATGGATAGGATCCGTAAATGGTACAGGCCAGGAGGACATAAGTTACTGCAATATCATACATTACATCATCCCGTTGCTTCCATTTGCTATTAAACATAGATGAATTAGAAAGTTTTCCTTTTTTGCCTTTCCCTTCTGCATCGACAATTAAACTAGTTGGAGAATAATGCTCATCCTTTGGAAAATATGCCTGGTGTGGGTCTTTGGTGAGCGCCCTCACCAAAGAGAGAACAGCCATAGCAGTGAGATTTCAGCTGGGAGTTTATCTCTGGGAGTCACAGGCGTTCCTATGCTGGATCCTGCTGAGCCAAGCTGTACGCTGTCACCAGATGGGGACACCTGACTGCCCAGCCTCATGGGACGGTTGTAGACCACAAAACCACAAGTGTGCACACCACCCCCGTGAAATGTCCGGTACTAGTTTGAGACCTTGCCTGGCTCTCCTGTTCATGGAGTTAACCTCAGAGAACTTGTGTTCAGGGGTATTTGGTATCTCTAATTTCCCTGGATTTGCTATAAATCATCCAACCATTTGAGCTTAGGCAGGGGTGGAATTTTTTTTAAAAGGAGTTTTATAAGAGGATTTACTCCTCTTTCCAGTTTTATAAGGAACAGTTTACTTTTCATGTTATATTAAAATATAAAATGAATTCTTGCAAGTAAAACTTGTGAGGGCGTTAATCTGTGTTAAGTATTTACCCCCTATTTAAGAATTCCATTCTGGAATTAAGCACCTGATTGTATTAGATTCTTACATCTTTTTAAGCACCGGGACAAAAAGGTTGAGAAAAGCACTGGACAGTGCTCTTTGAATCCCTACTCCTGGACAGAGGGTTCAGTCATTGGCAACCAAGAGGAATATGTCCAAGAGAAAACAAGATGACTTGGGGCTGAAACCCAGCAAGCTCTGTCCCATTCACTAGCAGCTCTTGCTCTGAGTCTTGTGTGTTTCATGCCTTTGAACTGAATGTTTTGATGTGGCATTCAGGGGCCTCCCCTCACCCTGCTGTCCCTCTCTGACCAGCACTGTTTGGATTCCTGTTATTTCCCTGGACTCATCTTCTCATCAATTAAAAAAAAATTTTTACTCTTGGGTTTTCTGTGCCCACAGGAACCTGTTCCTGCTTCCTCCGTTCCCCACCCCAGCCCCCTTCCCTGCTTGCTCCCTTCTCTGGTCCTTACCTGTCCCAGCACTGCTCTGGGTTGGTTTTACTCTGTGGATGCACATTCCTTGCCTCCCAGCTAGGTTGTTACTTCCTGCATCAGAGCCTGTCCTTGTCACCTCTGTCTTGGGTGTAGAGGGGTTGGAGCTCTGCCGGCATCTTGTCTGAGGAGCAGAAGGAGGGTCCCTTCCCAGCTTCATTCTGACCGTATGGCATCCTGTCTCTCATGCGGTTTCTGTCCAAGGTGTCTTTACTTTTGTACTCTCTCATGTAGAACCAATTGTGTCAGAAACCAGAAACAATTTTGTTTTCTTGTGACTCTGTCCCAGCAAAATCACATTATCCAGTTGTTCTGGTTAGGGCCTCATAGAAGGATTATTTGGACTGCAGTAATTGAATTCAACAAGTCAAATACCTGAATTGTTGTAGAGCTGTCTCTGGGGTCCAGGAAGAGATTATATGTAAACTTTTTCAGGCTAGGCTCCTCCCCGAACAGGATTTGCAGGGAGCTCAGGGGCCTCCTTGAGGCAGTCCCCAGGAGGGCCTGCAGCAGAGACAGTTCTGGCTGGACCAGACTGAGGAAATTCAGTGTAGGGCCCGTGTGACTGTCATGGTGACTTTTCCTTTGGGGGAAATGAAGTATGGAATCTGTGCATCTGTGGGTTGTGATATAACCCTTAACCCAGGCATATTTATTTTACACAGTGGGTGTAGTGGCTAAAGAGGCGGATGTTAGAATAAATTCTGACATCTGTATAACCTCACGTTGGCCAGCTGAGCCTCAGTTTCTTCATCTGCAAAATATGGGGCTAATGACATCAATAGTATTGTGAGCATTGTTTGTAATTGGTTGCCTATAGTTATCATGAACATTAAAGTGGGATGAGGATGAATAGAAGTTATCACAGTACCTGAACCAAAGATGCTCTCAAATAGGGGCTGTTTTTATCATTAGCCATAACAGAATTCATAATGTACTTACTTAGATGTGTTGTCCTGGCATTTTCCCAAGAAAGCATGTTGGAATATTGTTACATAGTAAGAAAGTAATTCAGTTTTTATTCATATTTCATTTATATGATTGTATCAAGGGTAAGTTTACTTGATGCTCTTTAATAGTTGCTAATTTTCTCTTTTAAAAATTTTTATTACTTATTTATTTGAGGTAGAGAGAGTCCACAGGTGTGGGGGGAAGGAGCAGGGGGAGAGGGAGAAAGAAACTCAAGCAGACTCTGCACTAAGCGTGGAGCACGATGTGGGGCTCAGTCTCACGACCCTGAGATCACATCCTGAGCCGAAACCAAGAGACGGACGCTTAACTGACTGTACTACCAAGGTGCCCCATCTAATTATCTCTTTTTTAAGAAGAGGTCTCAGGCTCAAGCTCAGAATGTTTGGCAGTCAGTAGTATCTAGCAAGGTTTTACATAATGTCCATTGTTTTTGCAATTTTAAAAAAAGATTTTTATTTGAGAGAGAGAGAGAGAGAGAGTAAAAGAGAGCACGAGCGGGGGGAGGGGGAGAGGGAGAAGCAGACTCCCCACTGAGCAGGGAGCCTGACACAGGGTTTTATAGCACACAGCATCGAGATCATGACCTGAGCCCAAATCAAGAGTCAGATGCTCAACCAACTGAGCCATCCAGGCACCCTGGAGTATACTGTTTTTATATTTAAAGTTGTAATAAGGGCGCCTGGGTGGCTCAGTTGGTTAGGCGACTGCCTTCGGCTCAGGTCATGTTCCTGGAGTCCCGGGATCGAGTCCCACATCGGGCTCCCTGCTCAGCGGGGAGTCTGCTTCTCCCTCTGACCCTCTTCCCTCTCGTGCTTTCTATCTCTCGTTCTCTCTCTCTCTCAAATAAATAAATAAAATCTTTAAAAAAAAATAAAGTTGTAATAAGGGTTCTTTTAAAAATAAATTTGGGGGCGCCTGGGTGGCTCAGTCGTTAAGCGTCTGCCTTCGGCTCAGGTCGTGATCCCAGGGTCCTGGGATCGAGCCCCGCATCGGGCTCTCTGCTCTGCGGGAAGCCTGCTTCTCCCTCTCCCACTCCCCCTGCTTGTGTTCCCTTTCTCACTGTGTCTCTCTCTGTCAAATAAATAAAGAAAATCTTTAAAAAATAAATAAATAAAAATAAATTTGAAAAGAGAGTAGGTGTTTAAAGGAATATGTCAAATACTAACAGTGGAGCCTTTGTGTACAATTACGCAGATTATTGCATAGGTACTGTGCCCAGGAGAGTGAGATGTTGGCAAACTGGGGCTGATAAATAGCCTGTGAGCTACTTACCAAGCCATGTGCCCTGGCACAGGACTGTTGTACCTACTGGGTGCCTTTTTCTAATTCTCACAAAGACACCATGTAGGCCAGCAGTAAGTGGTGGTCCATTAGTATGCAGTATGGCAAAAATACTGAAGGCAGCATGTAAATGGGAGTCCTGCAAGACAGGTGTTTATATTCTCCATTGCACCACTTGAGATGGAGGCTCAGATTCTTTTTCTGTGCCCATTTTTCATATTCCTCTCTGATAGCTCAGTGAAACTACACTCATGTATGGTAAATGGAGCAGACCAGGGGCAATGGAAGCCCCATTCACAACAGGAGAAAATCTATACAGAATATACAAATAATGTTTATTTTTTTATTTTTTAAGATTTTATTCATTTATTTGACAGAGAGAGACACAGCGAGAGAGGGAACACAAGCAGGGGGAGTGGGAGAGGGAGAAGCAGGCTTTCCGCTGAGCAGGGAGCCTGATGTGGGACTTGATCCCAGGACTCTGGGATCATGACCTGAGCCGAAGGCAGACTCTTAACGACTGAGCCACCCAGGCGCCCTATACAAATAATGTTTAATAAAAGTTGTTTATAATCTATTTAATTTAATTGGAGGACATCAAAGAAGACATACATGGAAAGACATACCATGTCCCTGGATGATGAGATTCATTATTATCAAGATGTTGACTCTCCAATCCAAAAATTTAGTGAATTTCTACTAAAAATCCCAAAAGGATTTTTCATGGAATTGAGGAACTGATTTTAACTTATGGGATATTGCAAAAAATAGGAATAACCAGACAATTTTGGAGAACAAGGAGGGAGGCCTTTCTCTATGAGATATCAAGGCTTATTATGAAGCTGTAGTCATGTAAACTAATGTGGTCTAGCCCTGCTCTGTCCAGTATAATAGCCACTGGCCATATGTGGCTTTTAAGCCCTTGAATGTGGCTAGTATGAATTGAAAAGTGAATGTAAAATACACACCAAATTTTGAAGATTTAGTAGGAGTAAAAAAGAGTGTAAAATATGTCAGTAATTTTAAAACACTGATCACATGTTAAAAATATACTATTTTGGATAGATTAGAATAAATATATTATTAAAATTAATTTCACCTGTTTGCTTTTTCATGTGGCTACTAGAAAATTTTAAATTACATATATGATTATACATAATGTATGTGTAATTACATTTCTCATATATCTGTTGGATGGCACTGGTCTGGACTGTTGAAATAGAGCTCAGAAAGAGGCCACACATATATGGGAACTTAGAATGTAGCAAAGGTAGCATTATCGGCCAGTGCAAAAGGGAGAGGCTGTTCAAAAAAGGATAATGGGACAATTGGCTTAGGCTATGGACTGAATTTTTGTGCCCCTCCCATTCATATGTTGAAGTCCTAATCCTTAATTTAGAGGATCAGAGAGTTATTTAGGGGATCAGAGAGGGGCACAGGGGGATTCCAGTCTATTTTTTTTTTTAAGATTTTATTTATTTTAGAGAGAGCATGAGCAGGGGAGGAGCAGAGGGGGAGGGAGACAATCTCCAGCAGACTCTGCACTGATCGCAGAGCCCTATGTGGGGCTTGATCCCATGACCCTGAGATCACGACCTGAGCTGAAACTAACTGTTGGATCCTTAACCGACTGAGCCACACAGGCGCCCCTCCGGTCTATTCCGATACACTTTATTTCTTAGAAGAAAGTCTGAGGCAAACATGGTAAAATGTGAAGATTGGGTGGTTCTGGGTGACAGGTTTGCATTATCCCTCTCTATTTCTCTATATGCTTAAAATATTTCACTAAAATATATGCATAAAATAGCCATTTTAACTTTTTGCAATGACTTGGAGTTTGACGAGATTTTTTCAGATTTATTTGAGAGAGAGAGAGAGTGCGCGCTCATGCATGCACCAGGGCAAGAGCAGGTGGAGAGGGAGAAGCAGGCTCCCCGCCAGAGTAGGGAGCCCCATGTGGGGATCATGACCTGGGATCATGACCTGAGCCGAAGGCAGATGCTTAACTGACTGAGCCTCCCACGCGCCCCTGAACAAGATTTCTGAACATAATTTTTGCAATGAACCAGTAAAAAAGTCATCTTGGAATTGGTGGGTTATCTTTGATATTTCCTGTAGAGTAGAGTAATACATGTCAGAGATGCTTTTTAGAAATTGCCAGATCAGGACTTTTATTTGTTGTATAAATCTAAAAGTGGTCATTTACTGCTTTTTCTTTTCTTGTCCCAGGAGACTCTCTGCCCCATCTGAAGTCCATATGGCTCTGTATGATGAAGATCTCCTGAAAAATCCTTTCTATTTGGCTCTTCAAAAGTGGCGTCCTGACTTATGCAACAAGGTGGCCCAAACCCATGGCATTGTAAGTGCACTGATCCTGAGGGTTGTCCTTTTCCATCAGGTGTGGACCAAGCCATGTTGGTAAGGCCAGAAATACTGTAGACTTTGGTTACGTTTAGAGGGAGTCAGTTACAAACCTGCTGAGTGTAACAAGCGCCAGACCATGCTCAGTACGAGCACAGGCAGAGAGAGACCACCACGTGCTGCCTCCTCCAGGAAGCCTCCGGGCTTTGCACCAGCCTCAGGTGTAATCCTTTCTCTGTTGACAGCCCCTGTTGACACTGATCTCATGGTATTCATCTTGTTTCTCTCTTTCCATGTTGATCTTGAGAGCTTCTGGGGGCAGAAAGCGTATTTCCCTCAGGGCATCATGGGTCCTTGTCTGTGAGGTGTGTGCTTACTCGCATAGGATAAGGGAACATGTGAACACGTTTGTATGTTGCTTTGAAAGGCATCTCCTCAAGGGGAAGAACCGGGGGAATAATCAAGGCATCCAGATGGCAGGACGAGGGGAGCACATGAAAGAAACCATAGTCTGTCTGCTGCCTGCAGGGAGGCAGGCTCTCCACTGGAGGCGTTGGCGGCCATCTGATGCACACGGCCCTGCCCATCTGTGCACACGCCCTGCCCATCTGATGCACACGGCCCTGCGCCACCCAGAGTGCTTGCTGCCTTTGTACTGTGGCTTTTCTGGTTTGTCTTTGGGCTTCTTTTTTGTGTGTTGTCCTCTTCTCAGGCTGTCCTGCCTCGTGGCCAAGGATTTTGAACTAGAGGAGAAGTCAGCGTACATAGCTCAGGTTCACTTTGGGCTGTCAGCTGCCTTGTCTGGGAACCAGGAGCTGACTTTCCCTTTATGCTCTCTGTCCCGCGGCCACCACAAGCCTGCTTTTTCCAAGCTCCTTCCAGTTTTTAGGGTTGGTTTTGTGGTTCATATGTTTTTCCCAGAATTACTTTACTTTGGTTTTTAGAGGTTATAAAGTTCATTTTGTGTGTGTGTCCATATATATATACACGTATACATATGTATACATAAAACAATTGGAGAATATAGCTGTTTCCAAGAAGAAAATAAAAATCATATAAAGTTCGGGCGCCTGGGTGGCTCAGTCGTTGAGCATCTGCCTTCGGCTTGGGTCATGATCCCAGGGTCCTGGGATCGAGCCCTGCGTCGGGCTCCCTGCTTGGCGGGAGGCCTGCTTCTCCCTCTCCCACTCCCCCTGCTTGTGTTCCCTCTCTCGCTGTGGCTCTCTCTGTCAAATAAATAAAAAAATCTTAAAAAAAAAATCATGTAAAGTTCACCAGAGACCTTATCATCTGTTCATTTCACAGTAATTATTAAATGCCCCTCTGGGCAAGGTACCATGTTTGATGCTGAGGGTTCAGCAAAAAATAGCAATAAACATCACCTTCTTTACCTTTATAGAGCTTAAATGCTATTGGGAGAGATGGTCATGCTCTGAGCAAATATCTACTAATTACAGTTGTGGTACGTGTCCCAGATAAGAAGTATAGGATACAAAGCCATCATGTTAACTTGGGGGGGGCCTGACTGAATTTGAGAAATATTCCCCCCCATCTTTGTTCTATAACGTTTTTAAAAATTGCTGTCTGGATAAGAGCAGACTATGTGTAATTTTCTCTTGCTCTTTAAGAATTCCACGCTGTGTATGAAATAAGCAAGTCACAGAGATGAAAAGTACAGCATAGGGAATATAGTCAATAATATTGTAATAGCAATATAGTGACAGATAGCTACTACACCTATTGTGGTGAGCCTTGAGTAATGTATAGAATCACTATGTTGTACACCTGAAACTAAGATATTATTGTATGTCAACTATACTTTATAATAAAAAAATATGGACCGTGTTTCATAAAAAGTGAAAAAAAAAAAAGAATTCCACGCTGTGGGAGCACCTGGGTGGCTCAGTCAGGTAAGCATCCAACTCTTGATTTTCAGCTCCGGTCATGATCTCAGGGTCGTGAGATTGAGCTCCAAGTCAGGCTCCATCCTGGGGGTGGAGCCTGCCTTAGATTCTTTCTCTCCCTCTGCCCCTTCCCCCAGCTCGCACGTGCACACTCTCTTTCTCTCTCTTTCTCTCTGTCTAAAAAAAAAAGCCACACTGTGAATACTCTGTGGGACCTGTCTTGCTCACCACTGTGTTGCCAGCATTTAGCACAGTTCCTGTCACCAGGTAGATGCTTTTCCAGCTGCAAGTAGTAGAATCCCACTCAAGCTGCCTTCTGCAAAAGGGAAATTTTGAATAAGAACTTTGGTATCTTGGTCACCTTCCTTTTGGCCACACCAAGGAACGGGGAGATTCTTCTTAAACTGTGTCATCCTGAGTTCCCAGTGGTATCCTAGGTCCTTTCTCTCGCCCCTCCTGGGATCTGCGGGGTCCATGGTGAGCTGCGTGGGGCCCACACTTGGCAACACTGACTTTGTGGCCTTCAGCAGAGGGGAGATTCCCCTCTGAGGGGAATGAGGCCAGCTTCTCAGCAGAAGTCACTGTGCGAAGGACCTGGCTATCTGGCTCAGCCCAGTCAGGTGTTGGTGGCTAGTTTCTGCCCCTCTTGGCTGTGTGCTGGGGGCTCCGGTTCATCCTGGTCTAATCCATAGTAGTGCTCCATCTATGTCTGTTGGTGGAATGAGAAAGAATATTCCAGTCACCTCTGGAAGAGTACTCATTGTTTCTGCCACCACGAAGGGATCCCTGTTGCCTCAGCAGGTGAATGCTGAATTTCTTTCCTTGGGGCCTGGCCATCGGGCCAAGTTTGGCTGTTGTTGAATCTGCCCTGGGGACCAGAGTCATTTATTGGGCTCTAAAAACCTGTGAAATCATCACTTTTAAACATGCGTGTCCCTCCCCGCCAGGGTTAGCTGCCCCTCACACCTCTTCCTAAAGTCCAGCTCACTGGCCACCCCATCCTCATGTGACAGTGTGTGTGTGGCAGCTGAGGGGTGCAGCTTGACTGCTCCCTCCACCTGCCCCATCCCTCCTCAAGTGTGACTTCCTTCCAAAACCTTCCTTTGATTGGGATGCCCATGCATCCAGGCAGGCACCTCCTGCCGTCGCCTGCTCTCTGACTGGATGGGGGAAGCTCCTCCCCATGTTCCCCAGATTCCAACCACAGAGGCCTGTGACACCCCCACACCGCTTCTAATAGTCACTCCTGTTCTATTTAATTAGCATCCAGTTAATTATACACTGTGGTTTCTTCAGAGTGGGCTGGCCAGGCCTGCTGCCTCCCTGGGGCTGTTGTCCATGAGGTGGCAGGATTCCCAGGTGGATTAGGGGTGGGTGCATTTGCCTATAGGAGGAACAGAAATTACATAGGGAGATTAAATTTGTTCCTCTTATTGTGATCTCTCTTTTTTTTTTTAAGATTATTTTATTTGAGAGAGAGCGCATAGTGTGGAGGGGCAGAGGGAGAGGGAGAGAGAATCTTAAGCAGACTCCCCGCTGAGCGTGGAGACCAACCCAGGGCTTGATCCCATGACCCTGTGATCATGACCCCAGCCGAAATCAAGAGTCAACAAGAGTCATGCTCAACCGACTGCCCCACCCAGACGCCCCTATTGTGATCTTTTAATTATGCGGTATGTAGGCTTTTGAGGGCTAGCCCTGGGAACCTGTCAGCATGTCTTCCGAGTTTCAAAGAACTGACTTTCAAGTAAAATACCTAGACAGGCCAGCTAAGGGCACTGAGGTCCATATTCTAGTTCTTAGGATTCCTTTGGCATAGATCCAGCCGAAAAACATTTGTTGAGCATCCACTAGGTACCAGGCACCGTGCCGGGTTTCCAGGATCGTACAGATGAGTGGGGGAACGCAGCATGCCTTTGGGGAATTCCAGAAGCTGACCGTTGGTTGCTCAGAATGGGTGTCAGGACAGAAGTCACCCTAACGTTCCCTGGGGAGGAGTCAGGAGGGTACTTTGGAGCAGTGTCATGAATGCTGATTCTTGCTTTTATTCTACTGTCTTTTCTTTAATTACTGTTATTTAAAAATTCTTTATAAAAAGACTAGAATAAGAAGTTGTATTGTTAAGCTTTAAAATAAGCAGGTCCCCCACTTATGGCCTACCCGGAGACTCTAAACTTTGTGTCCTCCACATAGGCTGTAATGCCCATGACATCTCCAGAAGTCTGAAGCACCGACTTGGGAGAGCCCCGAAGGCACTTGCACTTGACCCTGCCTCCTGTGGGCAGCTTCCTAGCTGCTCCACGTCCCCAGCCCCCAGGGGCTGGCTTCCTCACCCTCCCTGTCACTCAGAGAGCCCAGCTCCTGGCTTTCGCTTTTGCCTGCAATGAAATGCTCTGGGCAGCATTTTCTGCTTGAAAATTGGTGGTGGTGGTGGTGGGGGGTCCTTGCTATGGGAGGACTCCTGTTCATTCAACAAACATTGATTGGACACCTACTGGATGTCAAACAATGAGGTCGGTAACAGGGATACAATGCAGCTGGAGCCCATCGTACTTTTATTTAAGTTAGGGAGGCAGACAAAGTGTACGTGAACAGGTAAAAAGAATGTAATCACAGCTGGAGTGAGGTTCTCCAAAGCACCTCAGAAGTTCCTGGTCTCTCACATGGGACTGTATGACTCCTTCATCTATAGAGCAGGCGTGGGATCTTCTCTGGGCCTCCCTGAGTTAGGGCGTTAAACACTTGCTTCATGGCGTTCCCATGCCTGTGGCCAGCCCTCGGGGCCCCAGGCTCTTCTTCCTGTGCTCTCTGAGGCTGTGAGGAGGTTGTTTCTCAATTCAGGCTTATATCTGAGGGCCTACCTTTTCTTTATTTAATTTTTATTTTTCCCCCTTTTTAAGTTTTACTTTTATTAAACTTTAAAATTGTTTTAAAGCGATTTTTTTTTTTTTTAATTAAGTAATCTGTCTATGCCAGACATGGGGCTCAAACTATGACCCGGAGATTGAGAGTCACGTACTCTATTGACTGAGCTCAATTGCAAACATGATAAAAGTAAAAAGGGTAATATAATGAGCCCCATGCACCTTTCACCCAGTTTCAGCAGTGATCCGTTCGGTGGCCCATCACATGTCCTTTCTGCACCCTCCTGCCCTCCACCCTCGGCCACTGGGTTATTTTGAAGCAAATCCCAGAAAATTATGTCGGGTAGTCATGCAGGTTTTTCTGTAGATATTTAGAAACATGTCTTTAAATGATAAGGACTCTTAAAAAAAGGTAAGCACAATGCCATTATCACAGCTAAAACTTTCCACAATAATTCTTCAGTATTGTCCACTATCTAGTCCCTGTTCAAATTTCCCAAATCATCTCATAATTGTCTGTTTCACGGTGGGTTTGTTCAGATCAGGATCCAGAGGAGATCCACACGTCACACTGGATGGATGAGTCTCCACGTCTGTCTTTCCTCCTCACTGCCGAGCTCAAGTGAAGTGTGCAGAGGCACGTGCCCCGTGTGTGAGGCGTGGTCAGCGTTGACATGCGCCTGGCCTTGGGAAACCGTCTCCACAGTGTTCTGCTGCTTTTTCGTTTTATCTTCCCCTTTGCTTGTTTTCTTTCTTTGTGTCTTTGCAGTGCGTTCATCCGGGTTCCCGGCACTCTGGCTCTTGCCAGTGGCAGTCCCGGGGGTGGTGCTGACGGTGGTCCTGTGTTCACCGTACTTCCGGAAATTGGTGGTTCAAGCTAGATGTGGATCTGATTACGTCTTGATTTTTTGAGGAGGGGCCAGGCCATCTTGGCAGCGTTCTCCCATACACAAGTGCCACCTTCTGCTCTGAGGAGTTGGCGTGCCCCTCTGTGTGGCGAGAGGCCGAGCCGCCCGAGGAAGCCCCGGGTGACGGGGGCTCTCAAGGCTGCGGTTTCACCGACCGTGTCTTTGCTGGGGGAGCTCCCGCGGGCTCTGGGCTGAGCCTCCAGCACTGGCTCCGGGAGGTGGCAGGTGTTTGCGTCAGGGCCCTACCACTCACTGGCCGCGAGACCCTGGACAGTTTCCTTAGCTCCCTTGAGCCTCAGTTTCCTTGTCTGTAGGATGGGGATAGTGCGGAAGCCATATGCTTTGGGCTGGGTTGCTTCAGGAGGTGGGGTTCCGAGGGTCTACACCGCTTTGGGTGTCTTCCTTCCGAGCACACTTGAGTCTGAGAGAGTCCTTGAGCCGCCACGCACAGACCCGTGTGTGGTTGCCAGGGCACAAGGCGGTGGTGTGGTGGCCACGGTCGGGCCACAGTTCACCTCTCAGATGGAGCCCGCCCCAAGGACAGAGCCTGGTACCCTGAGACACCTCGGCGGAGGTGGCCATTTGCCACAGGAAACCCTGTTTCTGCTGCTCATATTACAAACTGTGATCACAACTGGGCTTAAAAAAAATAGCAGAGAAAAAAGACGGGACGGAAACTGTCTTCAGGGTGCAGTGTTTCTCCTCATTCAGGCGGCGGGATTACGTGTGACTTTTTAGGTTCACTTTTCTCTTCTTTCCAGACGACCCTGTCTTCCTCTGGAGTTGTCCCCGAGCCTGTTGAGAATAGACTGGGGCGCCTGGCGTTGGCTGTGGGGGGTGGGGCAGCGGGTGTGGGAACAAGCCTGGGGGCCTGCACCCAGGTCGGGGGTGGCAGCTTCGCTACCAGGACGTCCGTCCCCCCAGTCGCTTGGTTCTGTCTGCCAGTATGTGCCCCCCCCCCCCCCCCCCCCCCGGCTTTCTGCAGCTCTAAGCGGCACATCTCGTACTCTTCACCCTGCTTACTGTTTCCAGGTCCTGGTACCCTGCAAAGGAAGCTTGCCAAGCAGCATACAGTCCACTTGTCAGTTTGAGTCCTATGTTTTGATACCCATGGAAGAACACTTTCAGACCTTAAATGGAAAGGTATTCATTTCTTTGTGGGTCAACCAGGGTCCCTCACTCAGTGTTTGGGAATGGGGGTGGGGGACAGGGGGTCCCGCGTCTCACCCTGTCCCGGCTGTGGTAGATGATGGCTCTGGCACGCACAGCAGCCTGTGGGCTGGGGTTGGAGGGCCCCCTGCCTTTGAGGAAAGAGGAGATGGTAATCGGGAGCAGGGCCTGGCTGGGCCTCTGCCCTGGAGGAGGGCGGGTGGAGCGGTGGGGGGGGCGGGGCATCTCTCCCTCAGCGCAGGGGCCTCCTGCTGCTAAGTCAGGGAGTCTCTGGAACATCTCCTGAACGAGGTCCTGTCACTAACCTGTTTTATCCCCCTGCTCTTGAAACACTCATCAGTTTCTTGGCCACAAATAGTACATCAGGGGTGAATTTTAACTTTTTAAAAAACGTTCTTAAAAAGAAATGTTATTAAAACTTAAGCCAAAACAAAAACCAAAAACCAAAAAACAAGCATGTTATTAAAACTTCAATAAGCCAAATAAATAAATAAATACATAACATTCTTTTGAAGTAATCGCAAACCTAGAGAAAGCTTCAGTAGAGCACAAAGAACTCTCCTATACTCTTCCCCCAGATTGGTCAGCCGTGAGCATTTTGGCCACATTTGTTTTATCAGTCCCTCTCCCCCACACCCCCACGCGCTATTACTGCTTTTCTTTGAGCCCTTTTCAGAAAAAGTAAGAGTGAGTTTCAGACACCATGCCCCTTTATCCTAAAACGCATTTCCTGCGTAACTTAGCCGCAGAGTGATCACTCAGGAAAGTGAACTGTTCAGCACACTGTCCTCATACAAATCGTGCTAATTATACAAAAAATGTCCTTTTGTAGAAAATCTTTTTTTTCTTTTTAGATCCAGGATCCTGCAATGCCTTCAGTTGCTGGTCTTTTTAGTTTCCTTCGATTTGGTGCGGTCCTCGAGGGGTCTTTGTCTTTCATGACACGGATGGTTTTGCTTTGTAGACTCTCGCTCAGCCTGGGGTTCCCAGAGGTTCCCTCACGGCTGGAAGGGTGTTTTATTTTTCTCAGCGTGTTATGACAAGAGACACATGACATCAATCTGTCTCATTGTTGATGTTACCTCTGGGGTCCGCGTTTTCTTATTTTTTAAGGGGAGGTGGAGAGGTTCTGGGAGGGGGGTGTTCTGTTCCTTGCCGGGACTGGTGTGGGCCCAGGTGCATTTGGGGCAGCTCAGTCCCTTGGACCTGACAGCCAGGGCTTGCGTGGGCCTGTGGCGGGAGAGAAGGCACAGGACGGGACACGGGGTTACTGGGACACCAGCTCGAGGGGGGTGGGGGTCAGCGGCCCTGTTTGCCCTGCTAGTCACTGCTAGTTTGTTCTCTTCAGGGAAGCCAAAGCTACAAGGAGAACAGAGGAGTCAGGCTTATCACGGCTCGTCTGCCCGGGTACCCCAGCCGTGGCCAGAGTGCTGAATGTGGCAGGGATGGTAGCGTTCCTTCCCCGGCCCCATGCAGTACCAGGCCATTCCAGGAGAGCCTTCTTCCTTCCTCCTTTCCCAGAGGGTACAGGTTTTCTTCTGCTCCAAGGACCAGCTTAATGCAGCTCTGTCACAATATTTAAAAAGGATCAGCTGTAGCTATAGGGTGAACAAAGAGGAAAGAAAACATTTTAGTAGCAAAAAGCAACATGGGAGAGTGTTCACGCCTGCCCTGCAGAGCTCTACTGGAACAAAAGTGTGCAGGTCGGAAGCAGCACCGTATCGGGGGCCAGGCGGAGCGGGGATCGACAGTCACCCCCGGCCACTGGCGCAGTGACGGCTCTCTTGTTCCAGGATGTCTTTATACAAGGAAACAGGATTAAATTAGGAGCTGGTTTCGCCTGTCTTCTCTCAGTGCCCATTCTCTTTGAAGAAACTTTCTACAATGAGAAAGAAGAAAGTTTCAGCATACTTTGTATAGCCCATCCTTTGGAAAAGAGAGAGAGTTCAGGTATTCTGGGAGAAAACCCCTTTCTGGAGAACTGTGTTTGTTGAACTTCCTCCTGACATAGCTGTGATAAACGTCCCATAAAATATTTAAGAGCCTGCTAGAAGCCTGCCTAACTTTACAGTAATTCCCCAGAGCTTAATCAAAAAGTCATCCTGAGCTAAGTGTGGCTGGGGGCTGCTGTGTATGGTTGCGCAGGTTGGACATCACACAATTCTGGGAGGTGACATCAATGTAGACCTCTGTGTGAATGTGGCCCCTTGGAGTTGTACAGGGTGGTTTGACCTTGGGCCTCCGTGTTAGAGCTAACTCTTATACCATTATTGCCCACCCAGCCCCGCTGTTGTGCCTCTTTGAGAGCTCATTATTTTTAAAAAATAATAATTCTTCAGTTGTTCCAGGAAACTGAGACAACCATGTGCTAAATGTACTCTGAGGCCTGTTTTGCCAGGAATCAGGGCTTGTTCACCAGAGCCGCATAGGTCATGCCCACGGTCTCAACTTGTTTTGTCCAAGGAAAGGGCTTCAAGAGGGCCAGGCTCTCTGGACCCTGAGCTGTCCTGTAATGAGGCTGCTCTTGGGCAGGATCTTGAAATAATTCCTGTCCTCTCCTGGAAGGTGGGGCTCCAGACCCTGGGGGAGCAGGGCGAAGGATGTGGTACTTCCCCCATTAGGAAACTGTGAAGGCCTCAGCCAGCGTGACCCTTTGTCTCTTTTTTCAGAAGAGCCTTCAACATCTTCAGATCCCTTTACCCTGAAAACCATTGAAGATGTGAGGGAGTTTTTGGGACGACACACGGAGAGATTTGACAGGAGCATTGCTTCTTTCCAGCGAACATTCAGGGAATGTGAAAGAAAGAGCCTCCGTCAACACATAGTCAGTAGCTGTGTCTTGCTTTGCCAGGGTGCCCTGGCTCAGGCTGGTTCAAGAACATGGGGATCCCTCTCAGTGCACTCTGAAACTTTGCTGCCTCCACTGTTGGAAGCTTTGCTTAAATGTTTCCTTCTAACAATAAAAGTAGTCAAGCCACTGGAGAAAACTTGAACCTGACATAGTATAAAAATGAATATTGTTATCACCTTTGTGAACCCCAAGGGAAATTTTCTCTAACCCTTCATGCATATACACTTAAAAAAAAAAGTTGAAAAAAACCCCACATAATTTATTTGATAAGCCTGTATCAGTACTTAAAGCTTGGCACCCAGGAAGTGCATCTTGTGAAATGTTCTCGCTCCGGGATGCGTGACACGTTCTGGGTTTTGTGTTGGGGCCTTGGGTTATGGGTGACCTGTTTCTCTGCTGTGTGTTGCACAGGACTCGGTGAATGCTCTCTACACCAAATGCCTCCAGCAGCTTCTGAGGGACTCTCACCTGGTAAGCAGCAGGACTTTCAAAAGAGAGAACTGCAGTTTGCCCACATGCCAGTCCAAGCTCTTTAACAGTACCTTCTTGTCCTGCAGAAAATGCTTGCCAAGCAGGAGGCCCAGATGAACCTGCTGAAGCAGGCAGTGGAGGTAAGAGGCTAGGCCAGTGCAGGGAGAGGAGGCAGTGGTGCGGTGGGGAGGGGGAGGCTTTCTCGGGCCCCTCCACACACTCGGAACGGTGGTCTGTTTGTTGATTCCACAGATGTACGTCCAGCACGATATTTATGATCTGATCTTTAAATATGTGGGGACCATGGAGGCAAGCGAGGTAGGTCCTAAATCCCCGTCATCCTGGTTGGAAGCCTTTTATCCTTAGCTGTTTAAGAAATTTGAAGCTTCGTTAAAATCTGTTGTTAGGATGCTGCCTTCAACAAAATCACAAGAAGCCTTCAGGATCTTCAGCAGAAGGACATTGGCGTGAAACCTGAGTGCAGGTAAGAGTTTGCACTGCCATAGCTTGGCATCCTCGGAGGCTGGGGTTCTTGAAGCAGGGCTCTCAGCAGCAGGGACCGCACACTGATTTGGCCTGGTTCATACTGAGGAGCAGCGTGGTTACTTGTGACCAAAGATAAAGGACTGAGGTTGGCAGATGTCACCCTCCTGCCCCTGCTGCCCACATGAGAGCTGGGTAGGAACTCGACGGGTGGGGGTTTTGCACAGCTGGTCTTTTGACCTGCTTTTGAATTAATTTATGTTTCTTTAGGATACAAAAATGTCTTAAGTGTTTATGCTGAAACTATTTTAACCCCTTTGAGCTATCTCACTCTGGGGCTAAGGATTTTTATTTTTATTTTTTCCTAATTTTCTGGCGCCTCTATAATACCGTTTTGCATTCTGAATGGCACATGCAAAGGTGTTGAGTTTTGCCACTCATTTGAGTCCAATTGCTCCCGAGTTTCTATTTTTGTTTGTTGTTACTTACGGTTTGTTGTAAGCAGAGTAAATCTGAGGTATGATATTAGATCAGGGAAGAAGGGCCCTCCCACTGTGGTCTTAAGTTGTCACTTTCCAAATTATTTTGCAGCTTCAACATACCTCGTGCAAAGAGAGAGCTGGCTCAGCTGAACAAGTGCACCTCCCCACAGCAGAAGTTGATTTGTTTGCGAAAGGTGGTGCAGCTAATAACCCAGTCTCCCAGCCAGAGAGGTTTGTGCTCAGGGGAGGGGCCTGACGGTGAAGTAGACACTTAACGTCCAGATGCAAAAGTCTGTTAAGGAGTGATGTCATCTTCAAGGATCACACAGCTGGGCTGATGTGCCGCAGAGCATCCCCGTGTGAGCACCCCGGAGTCTGCTCTGATGCATGGGTGCCTAGCGATGGGGGCTTGGGGGTAGGTTAGGCGAGAGAACAGTGGCGGAGAAGAAGCGGCCTCAAAAGCGAGCCAAGCTTCCCCATACCTGCATGGGCGCCATGCAGTTGGTCTATAAATCCAAATCCAAGCCGCATAGGTTCTTTGAGAATCTGACTTTGCAATAGCTTTGGGTTTCCAGAATGACACTGTCCACAGCTCAGGTCTGAGCTTGCCAAGGTACAGCAATGTGTATGATTGACTTTAAGCTTCCTGTCGTGTGTTCTCTTGAACTTGTCATGGTGCCAGGGTGTGGGTGTATGGCCCCATCAGGACATTCACTGCCGACTGTTTAGTCCAGGGCCACACTGCTCACCAGCCTCCTTCGGCAGCTGTGTTCCAGCCTGAAGCTGTTCCGTTGACAAAATTTTTTGGCTTAAAATGACACACCTTTAATCTTAAAGAAAAATGATCCAAGCTGGTGATGGGTACATGGGGGTTCAATTATTCATTAGACCTATCTTCCTAATTATGTGTCTGTTTAAAATTTTCCAATATAAAAAGTAAAGCAAAATAAGCTAGGAAGAAAGTAAAGGGGAGTCGTATCTGTGTGGGCAGATAGGGGGTGATCCTCAAAGCGCATTAAGTGAAATGAGAGGGAGTGTATATGGTACACTTCTAACAGCATTCCAGAAAAGGAATGCATGGTGGTGAGTTGCTAGACTGTCTCTGGAAGGTTAGGTAGGAAGGAACAGCAGTAGCCTCCGGGGGAAGATTGGGCAGTAGGGATGGGAGAGGTAGTCACAGTTTGCTCTTCTGTGCTATTCAAATTTTTTAGACATGTGAATGGATTCCTTAAAATTTCAAAGTGAAAAAAATTAAAACAAGCTAGACGTGAGCATTAGACTTTGCAGTGTATAAAATGGAAATGATCGCAGGAGGAAAAAGGCTTTTCATGGTGGCTCTGGGCACACCTTCGCCTCATGTCCACCATCCCTGACTTGAACCGCCTGGAAGGTGGCGAGGGGGAGAGTGCTTGGAATTTCCTTCTTCTGCACATGTTCTGAGAATGCTAGGCACTCACTTTCCCCTCAAATGTGACACCAGTTCAGGACACTCTAAAGGAAATTGTGCAGTGGGACTTCTCCCTGATGTGTAGTCTTACTGGATTGTGGTTTTGTGGGTTGGATGATGGTGGGAGTTGATACACCTGTTGGTCTCATGATGGCTTCAAACATGTGTTTTCCTCCCCACCGCAGTTAACTTGGAGACCATCTGTGCTGATGATCTGCTATCGGTCCTGCTGTATTTGCTTGTGAAAACAGAGATCCCTAATTGGTAATAGTTTCTGTTAAAATACTTATTCAAAATGGCCGCATGGTACCGGGGTGGTTTTAGCATAACTCCAGGAAATCGAGCGCCCCTTATGAGTCCATCGCTGTGTCTGCCCTGCTTTGTTCTGCAGAGGGTGGCTGTCATTCCATTTACAGATAGGGAAACTGAGGCCCAGAGAGCTTATGTTTCTTGTTCTGGAACACGCAGCTGGTCAGTGACTGAGAGGGACGCTGACTCCAGTTCTCTTTGATTCCAGAGCCCGTCCTCTTCTGATGGAAACCCCCAGTTCACTTTACGGTAGTCAGCTTTTTAAAAACTGGTGTACTCCAGGAAAGGACCAAGTAGTTTTACTCATTTTCCTAATTGCACGTGCTCTAGAGCTTAAGGGGGTAGCAGTCAGAGCCCCTGGAGCTAACCGACTTCAGTCACTCACGCCCATAGCGCTGTTTCTGGAGAGGTGTTAATTGGGTACACAACGGTGAAACTTTTTTCTTCCTTTTGTTAGGATGGCAAATTTGAGTTATATCAAAAACTTCAGATTTAGCAGCTCAGCAAAAGATGAATTGGGATACTGCCTGACCTCGATTGAGGCTGCGGTCGAATATATTCGGCAAGGAAGCCTCTCCGTTAAGCCGCCCGTAAGATCCCTCTTGCCCTGGCCTTTCTTTGTGGGTGTCAGGGCACCTTTGCTAGGGTTCTGAGGTTGGCGGGTGGGGAGGGGATTCTTCTTCTTTTTTTTCCCAAGATTTGTTTATTTGAAATTGAGAGAGAGTGGGTGGGGGAGAGCGAGCAAGCGCACAAGCAGGGGGACTAGCAGAGGGCGAGGGAGCCCGACCCGGAGCTCAATCCCAGGACCCTGAGATCACAACCTGAGCCGAAGGCAGACACTTAACTGACTGAGCCACCCAGGCGCCCCAGGGGAGGGGGATTCTTAAGTGGTTTCCCAAGAACGGGGCCTCTACTGTCTAAGAGCTGTGAGGCTTGACAGCCACCCAGCAGTCTGAAATGCTAAGCACCCAATTGGGTGTGAAAGTTGGCAGGATATGACCGGGATTCACAGTTAAAATACTGCTTTGTTAATCCTCGCCATCCTCAAAAAAAGCACATCGGCAGAAGGGAGAAGCTAGAAACCATGAGTTTGGATATCTAGGCAAGAGATGGGATTATTCACATATGCAATTTTAGGACTCACTGGCCTTATTATGATTTTCTTGGTGAGCTTTGCTTAGGAGAGGCGGTTGTATTTCGATGTGAAGTGTGAGATCTAACACCAAGATCGCATCGCTGGCCTGTTGCACCAGCCAGCAAGATGTGACAGTACACACGGAATTTCAACAACACTGAAATTAATAAGATGAAGAGATTCCTATATTACATGCCAGGCGTCCTGAGGACTGAGCATTCTCTTGATCGTAGAATCTCCCCAAGTAATGATAAGTTAAAATAGCTGGAAAAAAATCAGAGGCCTGCCCAGACAGGGTGAAATCATTCATTGTTAAAATCTTTATGTGTTTTCCCATCTTTCCCCCATCCGTGTATACTTCACATAATTTAAATTATATTGTATATATAGCATTTTACACTGTTTTTCCCAAAAGAATCTTTTATTTTTTTTTCTGATTAGGAGACCGATACTTGCTTATAAACAATATTTACAATATACAGTTGACCCTTGAACAACTCAGGGGTTAAAGTTGCTAACCCTCCACATGGTTGAAAATCTGCATCTAACTTGTGATTCCCCCAAAAACTTAACTACTAGTAGCCTACTGTTGACCAGGGGCCTAACTGATGATATAAACAGTTGATTAACACATACTGTGTATGTTATATGTATTATATACTGTATTTGTACAATAAAGTCAGCTGGAGAAAAAAATGTTATTAAGGAAATCATAAGGAAGAGAACATACATTTAGAGCACTGTACTGTGTTTGTCGCCATCTAAGTGGACCCGTGCAGTTCAGACCTGTGTTCAAGGGACAGCTGTATACACTTGGAGTGAAGACAACACATACCTCTCACAAACTCACCAGCTGGGGATGACTTATTAACGTTTTGGCATATGTCTCTTTTGTGTGCCTGTACGGTTTTTTAAAAGATTTTATTTATTTATTTATTATTTTATTTTTTAATTAAAGACATTTTTTAACTTAAATTCAATTAGCCAACATATAGTACATCATTAATTTTTGGTGTAGTGTTCAGTGATTCATTAGTTGCGTATAACACCCAGTGCTCATCACATCATGCGCCCTCCTTATTTTAGAGGCAGAGAGAGTGTGTGTGAGCAGAGAGAGGAGCGGAGAGAGAGAGGGAGAGAGCAGGAGTCCCAAGCAGACCCCACACTGAGTGAAGAGCCCCATGCAGGGCTCAGTCCCACAACCCCGAGATCGTGACCTGAGCCGAAACCATGAGTCAGGCGCCCGACCTACTGAGCCACCCAGGCGCCCCTATACAGTTGTATTTTTAATGAAAATTTGAAATTATGCTCCTCTTACTGGCATGTAGGCTGATGGTAGGAATTGTCTGATGCTTCTCGATGGGGTTAAGGGCGCCCCTTGTCGCCTGGGGGAAGGTGATGCTGTCCCCTTGCTATGCCTGTAACTGCACAGTGACCATCCTATAAGCCTGCTTACTTCCTGTGGCGTGTGGGCAGCAAGACTAACACCTGAAGCCTTTGACCAGAGCAGAAGGAGGTGGCTGACCACACAGCACCAGTCAGCTTGCCACACCCACTTTGACTTCAGACAACATCCCGAGTGGGATTGGGGGAGTTGTTTTGGTTTTTAATTTTTATTTATTTAATTTTAAAGATTTTATTTTTAAGTAATCTTGACACCCACCATGGGGCTCGAACTCACAATCCTGAGGTCAAGACCCGCGTGCCCCACTGACTGAGCTAGCTAGGCGCCCCTGGATTGGGGGAGTTTTGAGGGGTGGCCCTCTTGTGCTGGTGTTGGTTCGAGCCCAGCGCTTGTATTTGCCCTTGGGCAAGTCTGTTTCTGAGTTTCTGTCCATTTCTTAATTACACTGACGATGTATGTTTCACCTTTTGCTAGGAGTTGACAGGAATGAACTAGGGTGTTTGGAAGTGCCTTTGTGAAGCGCGAGCTGATACTCTTGGCCTCAGCTTGCTCTTCCAACACCCCCGCATCTGGGTGTCTCTGTTTCCTGGCTCTCTGGTGCGTCCTGTGTGGATAGCCTCTGCGGGCAAAGTGGGGACACCGCCCAGTGTGCCCCTCTTGTCTGAGGTGTCTGCCCCTGGTCCTGGTCCTGCCTTTCTGGATGGGGGTGGTTGGTCCCATCTGGTGTTGGGGCAAGGTGTGCCTCATCCTTACAGCTGCTGTGGAGCCAGTCCCTTGGGCCCTGAGTGGGGCAGGCCTGAGAGATGCTCCTTACCTGTATTGACAGAACAGGTGTAGTGGCTTCTTGTCTTTGTGGTGCCAGTATTGAGATTCTGCCTTGGCCTTGGTCAACCGTAGCTGCTGATTGGCTTCCTGTCTTAGTGCAGTTCTACTTCGGAAGGTGTGAGGCCAGTGCAATGTGTCGGTGTCCCTCCCTGGGGAAGGAGCTCAAGTGGATTTCCACACAGCATGTGAGGCTTCTGGAGAGCATTCAGGGCTCAGTATTAGTAAATCGAACTTTGTTTTCCTGTTGCCTCTTTATATAATATGATGTAGTTTCACAGATATTTCCTCCCAAGATCTAATTGTACCTGAGGTGACCGTATATACTTTTTTTTTTTTAAGATTTTATTTATTTGACAGAGAGAGACACAGCGAGAGAGGGAACACAAGCAGGGGGAGTGGGAGAGGGAGAAGCAGGCTTTCCGCCGAGCAGGGAGCCCGATGTGGGGCTCGATCCCAGGACCCTGGGATCATGACACAAGCTGAAGGCAGACGCTTAACGACTGAGCCACCCAGGCGCCCCCCATATATGCATTCTTTAAGCATAAAGACTTGAAAGTCTCGTAAATAAAGACTAGCTTTTTGAAAATAAGCATTACTGGGATGACCCTAGTTTAACCCCTGTAGACCAAAAGCCAGAACCCTGAAAGAATTGATCCCCTTCTCTGTTCCAGCTTTGTGGGCTTCTGGTCTTTCTCACTCTACTGGGCTTCTCATAAATAGTATGTACCCCCTTCCCAAATGGATCTGAGCTGATATGTGGTGTCTTCTGGTAGGTCATTTCTCCTTGAAGGTTCAGGCCCTGAGGACTTGCCTCTCTTCATCATTGCCCTTCCTATGGTTACCCAGAGTGGAGGAAGGGACCCCACATTTACCCGAGCAATAGCATCTTTCACGTTTCTCTGACCCTAATCTGCTTGGCTATAAATCACTGAATAAAACAGGTTGCTAGAGCTTTATATAGCAGATGGCAGCTGGGAGCAAACGGGCTCTCGTTCTGAGGGGTTGGTGTATTTGCCAGGTTAACTCTCTTAGGGCCGCCGCTGTGAGGGACCGTGCCTGACAGAGGATCCCAGAAAGGGGCCGTCCCCTGAGGTGCCACCCAGGCTGTGTCTTTAGCTGGATCTCTTTGAGTCAGAGCTTGAGGGCCGTGAAGGGCCTTATCCCACACTTTTGTCAGGATTCGGTGAGTTCTTCTGGCAGGAACTGGCTGGGGGAGAAACCCCCTTTACCTCCCACTGAGACTTTTTTGAGGAAGTTAATTTGTCATCAGTCAAGTTGCAGGTGCTCCAGTGAGTGTTGAAATGTCTCGCTAGGAATTATTTCATAAAGAAAGGATGCATTTTTAGATTTTTGTATCTAAGTAAATATTACCTGTGATACAAAGATCTGAATTTATTATTTGGGGTAGACCCTGGTGTATTACAGGATTTGGGAACGGTGGCCATGTTCGTCGGCTATTTTAGTAAGTATGTTCAGAAAGCAAGACTCCTTCTGTCTCTCTTGCTGGGTGACCCTGGGAAATCTAGAACCGTCTGTCAGATGGTTGTCCTCTCTGTATGCCCAGATAAAGCGGCAGGGGCTAGGGCTGTGCAGGCTTTAGGACAGTGGTTTGAGAGGAGGAGGAGGCCAAGGCAATGCAGGCTTCCGTTTAGAGGAGGATGGTGTGAGCGCGCTACATTCCACACTTCGTGATGACACATTCCACACGTGTGCACAGAGGCATTGTGCCCCCAGGGCCCTCCTCCCAGGAGCCGCTTCTTGCAGGGACAGACAGAAGCCCTTGTCCCAGCCCGATGAGGATCTCCTCTCTGGCCCAGGGACAGAGGCTCTGCCAACCCTGTTCTGTGAGGAAGTAGCAGGGACTGAGCCCGGGTTCTCCATTTTGAAGGGTCTGCACGGACATCTTGTGACAAGTTGACAAAACAGATTGTTGGGTTTTTCCTACAGGAGTCGGAGGGATTTGGTGACCGACTGTTCCTGAAGCAGAGAATGAGCCTGCTGTCTCAGATGACTTCAACTCCCATTGATTGTCTGTTTAAGGTAAGACACTGGGAAGTCCGTGTGGGCACAGGCGTGTGAGGGACGTTTCATCTTTCCGCATCTCTAGAGCCTCTACAGCATCCATCAGGGCAGTGTGCTCGGTTCAACACCGAAGTTCATGTTGTGCTCAGAGTGGGTGCAGGAATGCTGAGGTTTTACGTCTGTGCATCTCCCCCAAGGTGTGCTGTGCTGTGCTGTGGCCGGGAGGGGCAGCACGCCTGGAGCCCTCTGCCCGAGCTGTCCTCACTCCACTGGTTCGTCAAGGTCCGCTCCGAGGTGCCTCCCGGGTGGCCTCAGCAGAGCTGACACCTCTCCTGGGCTCCAGAAGCCCCGTGTTGTGGATGTTCATATGCAGCGGTGGTTCCATCACTCGGCGCATGTGGGCGGCTCCCTGCTCAGATATGATTGACCCCTGGGAGGCTAGTTGGCGAGGGCTGAGTGAGGGCAGACCTCCTCAGGGAGCCTGTGGACGCTTCAGGCCACCCGGAGCCACAGTGGGTTGATGGAGCACCCAGGGAGCCTCCCAGGGGCCACGTGCTCCCCAGAACATCTCACTCCCTGAGAGGAGCACATCCAAGAATCACAGAGCTGAGCCCTGCACTTCAGCCTTGTTTGTTGATGGGATCTCTCGCTAATGCAGCCGTTCCTTTTCCCTGCAAACCGAGGCTCTGTTAGAACACAAGGGGACATGGGGCGCCTGGGTGGCTCAGTCGTTAAGCGTCTTGCCTTCGGCTCAGGTCATGATCCTAGGGGCCTGGGATCGAGCCCCACATCGGGCTCGCTGCTCGGCCGGAAGCCTGCTTCTCCCTCTCCCACTCCCCCTGCTTGTGTTCCCTCTCTCGCTGTCTCTGTGTGTGAAATAAATAAATAAAATCTTTAAAAAAAAAACCAAAAACACAAGGGGACAAGACCAAGGTGTGTTCTAGGGAGGAGTCTGCATCCACCCCGAGGTTCAGGAGGCATGATCCTCCCCCCACCATTGCTTTGGGAATTTTGTCATGTTGTTGTGTTAAGCTATGGACGATGTGTAACATTTCCAGAAATGAAAGAGAGTATAAATGCACACCCACATGGCCGTCTCCAAGGCCATCTCTGTCCTATTTCGTTTCCATCCCCACCTGCTTTCCCTGTCTGCCCAGATTATTTCAAAACACATCCAAGAGAGCAAGTCATGTCATCCGTGCGTACACAGATACGTGTTTCTCTAAGGGGGCTCCAAAAATTCATGTCTTAAGAGAATAATTCCTCAACTTTGATATGTTACTTTGTAGCACATTGCGTCCGGGAACCAGAAAGAAGTGGAGAGACTTCTGAGCCAAGATGACCAAGATAAAGATGCCGTCCAAAGGATGTGTCACCCTCTGTGTTTCTGTGAGAACTGTGAGAAACTTGTCTCTGGGTAAGAGCGTCCCCGTGGAGGCTCAATGTGCCTGCAAGGGGGAGGTGTAGGCCTGGGCCGAACTTTCCACTAGTTCGTTGTGCGATTTTGAATAAAGACCGTACCCTCGTGGCCCTCCGCTTCCTCTGCTGTAAAGTGGAGACAGTAACATCCACCTCTTCGGAGAATCAGATGGAATAAAGGTCATAAAAATACTTGGCCCTCTGCTGGGTCCCAGAGTAGGTGGGTACGAGCCTACCCAGCCCCAGAAAGCAGATTTTAGGGTGGAAGGAATGTCAGCTTCTCCAGTAACCTTTTGGGTTTCCCTTCCCCTTGTCAGGCTGGGTGTCAGAGCCTGGAGGGGTGAGTGAGGGAGGGATGCTGGGACCAGAGGCCTCAACCTGCAGCAGACCGAGCAGAGGCTGGATGGTCTCTGGGACACTGTTAAAGAGATCCAGCTCACACCCAGAGATCTGTCTGCTGGCCCCAGGACTCTGGCATGTCCAGCCTGGTAGGGAGAGGCTTTTCCCTACCTAGGGTGTATTTTTCTATATCTTCTCTCTCTCTCTCTCTCTCTCTCTCTTTTTTTTTTAGAGGGAGAGAGAGAGAAAGAGAGTGTAAATAGGGGTGGGGAGGGGCAGAGGGGGAGGGAGAATCTTAAGCAGGCTCCATGCTCAGCATGAGCCCAGTGCGGGGCTCGATCTCACAAGTCTGAGATCATAACCTGAGCTGAAATCAAGGGTCGGATGCACAACCAACTGAGCCACCCAGGCGTCCCCCGCTCTTCTCCCTCTTTTAGGAGGCTGAACGATCCCTCCATTGTTACTCCATTTTCCAGAGATGACAGGGGTTACACACCGCTCCATGTGGCCGCCCTCTGTGGTATGTGGTCTTGGGTTGACCTTTGGTTGGGCTACTAAAGCAAAGGGATGGAGCCAGGGGCGGCCCAGCAGAGGCCTGAGTGATGGGGTGGCGGAGTCGGGGGTGGCAGGGCCCATGTCATGGGCCACCTCCAGGGGCTTTGCTATTTTTTTAATGGTCGTATAGTATTCCATCCTGTGAACTGACGCACCACGGAATCTTCTGTGGATATCTAAGACTCTTTTCCACTACCTTCTGTTGCTGAGAGGTGAACCAGAGCCGAGCCCACTCTGGAGGGGCAGGGTCTAGTGTGTCCTGAATCTAGAGTCTGGCTTGATGTTAGCTCTGGTCCCTCTCAAGGGGAAAAACACTTCCTGGCATGTCCCCTACCAGCGAATAAGAGGGTAAAACAGTGGGACTTCACATTTAGGGCTTGGCGAGCCCCTGCCCTTTCCTTCTCTGTGGTGAGATCCCTCTGTTCTGCAGGGCAGGCATCCCTCATCGACCTCCTGGTTTCCAGGGGCGCGGTGGTAAACGCCACGGACTATCACGGGTCAGCCCCACTGCATCTCGCCTGCCAGAAGGGCTATCAGAGCGTCACGGTGAGCAGGGGCGCCACCCCTGTGCGCGTGCTCAGACGAGCCCGGTGCCGTGTGTCGAGACCCTCATGGCCACACTCCTGCCTCGCAGCCTCTCGGGATGGGCCACGTGTTCCAGGCCACAGTGCCGTGGACAAAACCCCTCGGTGTCGATGTGAAACATCCCGGCAGCTTCGGGGAAGAAGGGTGGGGCCGTGAGCCTTGTTCTTTAATGTCTCGGCGTTTTGAAGGGCAGGATGAGCGTGATAGTGGGATTTTAATTGTAGCGTAGGTCAGTACGGTTGCAGATGAGACCGCAGGCCACGCTGCTCACCGCGCTCGTCTCCTTGGCAGTTGCTGTTACTGCACTACAGAGCCAGCCCCGAGGTGCGGGACAGCCACGGCAGCACGCCTCTCCACCTGGCCTGCACCTATGGTCACGAAGATGTAAGTGGCGCCCCCCGTGCCCAGGGTAGCTCTTCTCCCCCTTTCTCACTCGCCAAGTTTCTGCTTGGTGTAACATCACGCTTTACTGGCATGTTTGGTGGGTGATTTCTCTTTGATTAAAAAAAAAGCCTTAAGTGTATTACAGATGTCCTACTGTAAGAACAGAAAGCTAGACTTTAATCGCCCGTTAGCGTACCCTGAAATTAAAGTCATTTTCCTCCATCCCTGCCGCCACCTGGTTCTGATCTTTGTTCACCGTCAGTTTTTACATCTTCCATTTTTGTAGTCATAGTGACAGCTGTATCATTTCTGCTTCCCCTTCACCTTGAACTGTGTGTGTGTGTGATTTTGTCCTGACCACCCCCTCTCCATCTTCTCTGTGTGAGGACACGTGGGTTTACATGTACCCAAGGTAGAGGCCGGGTTAGGAGTGGATGTGGAAATATGATATCGAGCTCTCCCCATCTTTATAAAGCCACTTTCTTAACGGTACGTCATGGAAATCCTGGAGGTCAGTAAATGTAGCCCCAGCCTGTCCTTTAATTACTACACAGAGATCTGTTGCGTGTGTTGCGTCTGTGTCCCTAAGACCACCCCTTGGTCAGTGCCTTGCCAGGGCGACTGATAGGACTCGGCATATAGTCACGCTGCTATAATTGACGATAGCGAAAGGACCCAGGGCACGGTCACCGAAGGGAAAAGGTGCACAGATGAAGTCTGGAGGAAAGCAGGTGCAAGCTTCAAAGCATCCTCTCCCCAGGGAGATGTACAGAACATCCTCGGTTCATCCAGCAGTGAATTATAATAGCAAATATTAAGTGCTGTCTATCAGGAGAGCTCTGTAGGGACTCAGGGCCCAGGATTTTTATTGGAAGCTGGTCACATAATTGCGCTGTGCCTGCCACATGCCAAACTTCCAGACTTCTAGAAGAAAAGCAGGTGTTCAGCATAAACCATGTAGTTGCACAATTTAGACAGTGAGCCATTCCCAGATCCAAGCTCCTGAGGAACATTGCGAGTCAGGGGCCAGCTTGCAAGCGGGCCTTTCAGTGGACAGTGGTCTCCGGCCTGCTGTGGTCATTCCCTTCTGCACATGGATACATCACAATTTATTCAGCCTTTTCTTACTGATCGACAGTTTTCAGAAAAATGATGTGTCCTGATGAGGTAACCTTGAACTCTGTCTCTCTGTTTCTGCACATTTGCTTGGTGAGCGGAGCCTGGCTGGAATCGGGGTGTGGACTGAGGCTGTGGGTTCCACAGACATTGCCCAAGGCTTGGCATGTGACTTACTGGTGGTATTTCCCATTTTCTTTGCAGTGTGTGAAGGCTCTGGTCTACTATGATGTGCAGTCATGCAGACTAGATATTTGTAACGAGAAAGGAGACACCCCACTACACATAGCTGCACGTTGGGGCTACCAAGGCATCATAGAGACATTGCTACAAAATGGAGCCTCCACGGAGATCCAGAACAGACTGAAAGAAACACCCCTCAAGTGTGCACTAAACTCAAAGGTAGCTTTTTATCATCTCAGAGCATCAGTGTGACTTAAAAAAAAAAAATCAACGTCCAAAGATTGGGTCTTGGCTGTGCTGACCAACTGTGCATTAGTGCCTGAGGCCCGAACATGGCCTGTGCCCTCTCTGGTGCATTTAGGACCTGGTCGTCAATGGGTTTTACTTATTTATGTTATTTCCAGCTTAACCAGCAGTTCTTCTCAGTCTTGTTCTAAGAGCTGCTCCCGGCAGAGTTTGCCCCAGCCCCTGAGTGCTGTTGGTTTCAGAGCAGACGGCATGGGGGGAAATGGGACAAAGGCTCTGGCCAAGAGAAGCAGGGATCGGGCCTGGGGTATGGAAACAGCATTCTGTCTTCCACTTCATCCTCAGCTCCTAAATGCCTTCTTCTCTTTTGGCCAATTTTGAACATCGTTGTGTACGGTTTCTTTCATAATGAACCAATCCTTTCCTGTTGGTAATTTCTGGAACCACGTTAGTGTCTGGCAACGTGTCATGGAAGTGGGGAGTGGATGGGGAGCAGGTGGGGAGCGAGAGGGCTCGCAGAGGCTGGTTCTCTGTGCCTCGCCCCCGCAGCCGCTCCGGCCGAGGGGATGCTCCCCCGGAGAAGCGCGGCCCGAGGCCATCGGACCACGTCCAGAGCATCGCGGGTGTTTGGCCCACATGAGCAATCCCGTCTTGATGCCGGCCTCCCGCACTTCCCCTTCGTGCAGGCTCGGCTTTCCGCCTCGTGACATTTTACCGGCTGCTTTTACAGCTTCCAGCTCTGTTTCACAGGGTTCTTTCAGGGTGTTTACTTCTCTTTCTAGGAAAGCAGTTTTTGTCTTTTAACCACACATGAGGTTCGATTGATGCACAAAAAGTTGAACTTAATTAATGTGTGCAACTCAGGGAAGTTGGAGACAAGTACATGCCCTAGTACGACCAGCTCCGTGACCCTCGCCACGGACACACGCGTCACCTACAGATGATTCCTTCTGCCCTCTTTCTTTGTCATGAGTAGTAGTAGTATGTTGTGTGTGTCCTATGAACACAACATGAGGTCCCCAGTAGCCGATTCCGAAGGTGTAAATCCCTGCTGCTCACCCCAGGTGGGCCTCCGCCACGTTCCCTGTGCCCTCACAGGGTCTCGGCTTCGTAGTGGCCAGATCCTCCGGGACGGGGCAGTGCTGTGCTTGGCCTGAGGAGTTCGCGAGGAGCAGAGGGCCCCTCTGCCCAGGTAGCTTCTCCCAGAGGCCCCTTCCAAAGGGAGATAGGCAGAGAGGAGATGTCCTCTGAGCCCATTCAAGGGAAGCCCCAGCTCCTATTGGGCAGCAGGGGCACTGAGAGGCAGCAGGAAGCCCCCACTTAATCTGTGTGATCCTGGGTGAGCTCCTGCCCGCTCAGGCTGTGGTTTCTCTGTCTCTCCAGGGGCGTGGTCAGGCTGCGTGACCTTTGGAGGAGGTGGGCAGGTGGCTGGGCCTACGGGTGATGCTACTTTGGCAACCTTTCTCAGTATTTTTCCTGTTCCCTTCTCCTAGATTCTGTCAATAATGGAGGCCTATCATCTGCCCTTGGAAAGGAGGAGGAAGTCTTCAGAGGTGAGTGAACGAGGCTGGGCTTGGTGGCCCCCTGGGAGAGCCTGGCCTGCTCTCTGGACCTCACGAGGCCCTTCTCCTGTCGGGGCCCCCCTGGCCACAGGTCCCAGTGCAGCCCCCTCAGCGCCCCGTGGACTCCATCAGCCAGGCCTCCTCCACGTCCAGCTTCTCCTCTGTGTTGGTGAGCTCCAGACGGGAGGAGCCCAAGAAGGACTACAGAGAGGTGAGGCTCCCAGGTGGGAGGGCTGACAGGAGGGCAGCCGTGTGTCAAGGCAGCCAGGTAAAGAGCCATGCATGACAAGGGCTGCCCAGGGGACCCCGGGGGATGCCCAGCCAGGAGTTCTCACCCTGCTGCTTGCATGCTCGGCTCCTGAAGCAGCTCTTTGCTTTGGGGATTGTATGTGTTTGTGTGAATATATGTGAGACAGAGGGACAGAGTAGGGAGTCTTCTAGGAAAAGTCTAAGGAAAGTCACCTGTAGGTCCACAGATTTAAGATCATTTTACAAACTAAATTCTCAGCACTTACGTCCCGCTCTGTAAGCATCCCTGTCAACCTGATGTATCGTCCCTGACTTCTGGCCAACACATTGTGTTCTGTAAAAGGTGATTTATAGCCTATTTTTTTTTCTTCTCCATTTAACCTGTCTGCAAGCTCATCCAGCGTCAGCCCGCAGAGCAGACCATCCCATGGACATCTCACGACTCCTCTGCCTGTTCCCCTGTGTGCGGGGAGCCTCACTGCCTCCGCACAGGGCATTTGTCCCCTGCCACCCCCAAGCTGTGACCTGCTCTTAAAGGGCCCGATAAGCTTAGCTTGATGCGAAGGCACAGTAGAGAAAGCACGGAGACACATTCCGGAGTCTAAGAGAGCCCTGGAATGGTTCCTGGTGTGCCCTCAGCTGTCGGATGATGAGGGCTGAGTATGCGTGATCTCCGGGGTGGCTGGCTTGCGCTTCATTTGCAGTGACCAGCATCTCGCTTGGCCACATCACCAGCAGATCATTCCATAGACCTCAGGGGGAAATGGGTTCGGTGCACGCTGGTGCCCTCCTGGACGGCCTAGCCGGGCAGTCTCAGGGATATGCTTGCGAGATGCTGAATGAGGTGTTAAAACTCCACAAACCCAGAGACAAATGAGAGCCTCTGGGTCTTCTATTACAGCTTAATTATTAAAATCATTTTCTAACATTCTTTTTCCTTAAGGTAGAAAAACTTTTAAGAGCGGTTGCCGATGGAGATCTAGAAATGGTGAGTTTTTAGCAGCACGTCTAAAAAAGCTTGCTGTCGGTAAAAAGAGCTGAACCTTTTTCTTGTCGTTGGTTCAGTCAGGAGCTATGTTCTGTTCACTTTCACATGGAAGGGCTGCATTTAATGACTGCGCAGTAATGTAGGTGTTCGCGTTTTCCTTTCACGTACTGAGCAGGTGGTCATAAAGCGGCACAGAGAGCCTACTAGAGGTTCACGTTCCGGGAGGCTGGTGAAATGTTGGCCAGCCCTGCCGTGGGCAGGAGCACAAAGTGCGGGCTCCGAGCCTGGCCCACTAGCTGGGAGCAGGATGTGCAGGCAGGGAGGGTGGAGAGGAGGAGTAGGGTGGGGCAGGGGAGTGTGGCTGGGGGGGCCAGAGCCCAGAAGCCCCGGTGTGGCCCCGTGGAAGTGGTGGGCGGCTGTGGTGCCCGGGCAGGAGGCTGAGGTCTGAGGCTTGGGACTCCCAAGGAGTCCCAGGCCGGGTGTCCCAATGAGGTGGTGCTCGCTGCTGTGGGTTGGCATGGGGAGAAGACCTGGCTGGGGGGAAGGTGTCTGTCCCAACCCTCCCTGCAGATGCCAGGGAACACCTAATCAGGTCACTGGAGCATGGAGATAGCCTTCCTTAGATTCCCACGGGCGGTTTCCCCCGGCTTGCCTTTGGCTTCCTGGAAGGAACTTGCTACATCTTCTACTTTAAAAGGAAGAGTAACTTGGGTGCTTACCAGATGAGGAGCTCTGAATAAATCATCTGAGAGAGCTTGGCGGTGTTGTGTGTTTCAGGAGGGCCTTTCGCAGGTGATCCAGCTTGAGGTGGTGCACAGAAGTTGCTGGGATCTGATCATAACCACCTCGGGGATGTTTAGAATCTGACTGTAGTTTCCACTATATTCGCTTTTATGCAGTGGCTGCTGTCAGTGCACCAGACTGACACATGGTCCCTCCGGGGGGAGGATGGGCAGGACATGGGTGTCTGTACCTGTACCTGTCCTCTCAGGAGACTGGCTCTAGGAGAACCCAGCATTCTTTGGAGGAGGCGAGTAGGACTTCTCCAGGCACCCTGGAGCCATGGTGTGAGCCAGCAGCACAGTGTGTGCAGAGAAGAGATTCTGACTGTCCCTGCGTCGTGACACACTCCTCTTCCTTCTGGGGGTGGGTGAGGGGGCCGAGGCCATTCATGACCGCCTGGTGCCCAGGGGTCACCACCCAAACTGATCTACACACGTGGCAGCCTCCAACACCCCACCCAAGGACCTGCCCCTCTGCTCCCCCCGTACTTGTTCCCTGCCCTTGTCTGTCCCACTAGCCTGTTAGCTGAGGCCCCTGGGTGGAGGCCTTTGGCATTTCCACCCTGGGCGGGGGTATCTGCTGTCCGGATGTGGAAGGGACCTGGAGGAGAGACATTTGGGGTCAAAGGCGGTCTTCTTGGAACCCCTTGTCACTCCCTTCATGCACATGCTGAGTTCCTCAGTGCTCAGAACCAGGCCTAGAAATGTATTTATATTGTTCCCAATTTTCAAATTTAATATCCTAGAGACCAGTTTTAAATTGGATTTTTTGGTGGTCTCCAATGCGTTCAGGTGTGGCTAGTGCGTGGCTAGTGCGTGGAAAGGACACTGGCGTGGCGTCAGGGAGCCTGCATATAAGGTTCTGACCTCCACTTCCTAGTTGTGGGGCCTTGGACGAGGTATTTCCTCTCAGAGTGAGTTTTCTCCCAGGTTAGAAGGGATGAGTCGTTGAAAATATACAATTAGATAATACAAGCCGAGGTGCTCGCGACACACTCCAGGACCGGGGAGTGAAAGCAGCACCACTCTGCCTGGGTGATGCAGTTGGTGAAGCATCTGACTCTTGGTTTTGGCTCAGGTCCTGATCTCAGGGCCCTGGGATCGAGCCCCGCATTGGGCTCTGCACTCAGCTCGGAGTCTTTCAGATTCCTTCTCCCTCCCCCTCTGCCCCTCCGCTTGTGCTCACTCTCTCTAAAATAAAAAGATCTTAAAAAAGAAAAAAAAAGATAGGGGCGTCTGGGTGGCTTAGTCAGTTAAGCGTCTGCCTTCGGCTCAGGTCATGATCCCAGGGTCCTGGGATCGAGCCCCGCATCGGGCTCCTGCTCAGCAGGGAGTCTGCTTCTCCCTCTCCTGCTGCCTGCCGCTCTGCCTACTTGAGCTCTCTATTTCTCTATCATACAAATATATAAAAATCTTTAAAAAAAAAAAAAAGAAAAAAGGTAAGAAAAAAAAAGATGAATCTCTACCACAAGTTGTAGAGATGGCGCTAAAGTTCTCTGCATCACCCGTAAAAGGACAGAGAAAGGGCTTGGGCACGGTGAACCCAGTCATTTCTAAATCACTGTGGTGGTTGAGGAAGTGGAGGCCCTGATCTGGGAGCAGGGTGTGTGTGTGTGTGTGTGTGTGTGTGTGTGTGTGTAGGGGGGGAGGAGGGAGAGTTACTGTAGCTTGTAAAGGAGCTAAGGGTGAGTTTTAAGTTCCTGTTTATCCTTCCTGCCCAACACCAGGTGCGTTACCTTCTGGAGTGGACGGAGGAGGACCTGGATGAATTGGAGGATGCTGTCAGCATAGGCGATGTTGAATTTTGTCACCCCTTGTGCCAGTGCCCGAAATGTGCTCCAGCTCAAAAGGTTTGGCTTTGCTTCCATTGGTGCAGCTGGGGGTGGGGGTGGGGAGGCAAATTCTTCTTTTCCGGAAAGTTGTCTGCTTCTCAGCCAACCAGTTACTGAGTGGGTGCTAGTTGGCATCCCCTGAGATGTGGTGAGGTTTAGTTACTTAGCTCAGGGAGGAGAGACACTAACACTAGTGTGGATCTGCCTTGGGCGGCTGACTTTCTGAATGGGCAGGTCAGGGAGCAGAGGAATGCACATGTGCTCAGTGTTTCAGCTCCTCTCTGGGCCCCTGAGTCACAAGGCAAGAGTTTATGGCTGAGGGTGTTTGTCTACATGGCTGCCAATTCCTTGAGGAAGCTGCATTCGAGATCCATTGCCCACTGTCTGTGCTCAAGTTGGTCCACCTTCTGTGGGAGGATCCACCCTCCAAATACAGAGGATCCTCTGTGCCCTTTCCCCAATCTCCCCCAGTGGTAACAGCTTGCAAAGCCATAGGATGGTATCCTAGCCAGGATGCTGACCCAGAAACAATTCACACATCTTATCCACATTTCTTTGATTTTCCTGGTGCTCACATGTGCATATGCATGTGTGTGCCTGTGTGTTCACTTTGATCACACGCATAGCTTTGTGCATCCACCACCACATTGAAGGTACCCACAGGCTCCCTCACTATGGGAAGAACTACTCACATTGCCCTTTCCCATACCCATCTGTCCCCCTGCCACCCCCTAACCCACAAGTTCTGAGATTGAGGTTGAGGTTCATTTTTTTTTTGCCTGTGGATGTCCACCTGTTCCACACCACTTGTTGGAAAGACCATCCTTCCTCCATTGACTTGCTGTCCCACCTCCATTGATAATATACGGTGTGGGTCTCTCTCCAGGTTCTGCGTTCCGTTCAACAGATCTGTGTGTCTGTCCTTCTACCAGTTCCATGCTGTCTCAATTACTGGAGCTATAGGAAGCTTTAGTATTGGGTAGAGCCATTCTTCCTAACTTGTTCTTCATTGCCAGGATCATTTTAGCTAGTCTACGCCTGTGCCTTTCCGTATATATTTTAGAATGGGTTTGTTTATGTCTACCAAAAATCTTAGTAGGATTTTGGTAGGAATTACATTAACAACCGTAGATCAAGTTGGGGAGAAATGACATCTTTACTGTGTTGACTTCATGAATATGGTATATCTCTCCAAATATTTTGGCCTTCTTTGATTTGTTTATCATTTTGTGATTTTTAGCATACAGATCCTGCCCATGTTTTCTGAAGTGTATACTTAAGTATCATTTTCTTTTGAGAAATCATAAATGGTATTTTGCATAGAGTATGCACTTTTGTGCTAGCTACCTAACTCGATGTGTATGTCCCATACTGAGAAAATTAATTTGACTCTGCAAAACAGGCATAGTGGTGTTGTCCTTTGTATTACAAGATAATACTGCCTTATTTTAAAAAGCTTCACCATGGGTTATTCCAACCCAATAACATTGAAATTAGTAAAACTTTCATTCACGTGTAGCTTTTCAGCTCGCTCCAGGGTCATGTGTACGTTGGGGATGTGCAACTCTTGTTCTGTCCCGATGCTGCTGGATGGGGACAGCCCAAAGAATGATTTCCCCTGTGTAGACTGCTATGAAAAGCATAGGGATTAAAAAAGGCAGATGATGTTTCGAAGGGTACTAGTGAAGTGACCGTACTTCAGGCCCAGTCAGGGACTGAGTGTGGCTAGAGGCAGCTCCTGTGTCTCGCTGTCACTGCTCTTGCCATTTGCCTGCACTCTGTTCTTCCCCACCTCACGGTTCATTCGTTACAACAAGAAACCGGAGTACACATTAAAATAACTGCTAGATTTATTGAATAAAATCTTAACGTTCCCTGCTTTTTTAAAACCTTTTTCTCATTTTGAAATTCCTCAAAAAGACCTAAAAAAGACATTTATATGAAGATTGCTTCATGTCTGTGACTTAGCTAACCACCCCCTGTCCCCACCCTCTTCTAGCCCACTGGTGTGTTTAGAGTGTTTGTTTAAAAAACCTTTATTGAAGTACAATTTACACCCAGTAAAGTCCTATGTACTGTGTACAATCCCTTGAGTTTCCGCATGAAGCCATGACCACAGTCCAGCTCCAGAACACTCCATTACTTCTGAGGGTTTTCTTGGGCTTCCCCGCTTCCTCCCCTGTCCCAGGCAACGCCCGGGGTCTGCTGTCATCACAGACTCGTTGGCATTTTCTAGAATTTTATGTGAGTGGAAACCAGACAGGACCCACTCTTTTGAATCTGGCTTCCTTCATGCAGCAGAATGTTTTGAGATCCACACCAGGTCAGTGGATTCCTTTCTTTTTACTTCTGGATAGTATTTTGTTGAATATACTAGAATCAATTGAATCACCCGTTGACATTTGCGTAGTTTCCCATTTGGGGCTTTGTGAAGAAAGCTAGTGTGAACATTTGTGAACAAGTCTTTGTATAAATATATGTTTACTTGGGTAAATACCTCGGGGTGTAATTGCTGGATTATGTAGTAAGTGTGTGTGTAACTTGATAAACTGCCAGTTTTCCAGAGTGATTTTCCATCTTCCATTCCTGCCACTAGTGTGTGAGAGTTCTTTCTGGTTGCCCCACATCCTTGTGAGTATTCAACTTTAGCCATTCCTGTAAGTGTGCAGTATTTCATTGTTTTTTTTTCTCCCTACTTCATCTGTTTGTTTTTTTTGTTTTTTGAGGTACAGTTTACATGCAGCAAAATTTACCCTTTTAAGGCAGCATGCAATTTTCCCAAGAGAAAACCTTTTTAATCATCAAAAAGTGAACTAGATAACCAAAGTTTTCATCTTTGGGCAGTCACCTGGAATGCTGACATAGCAATTTTATTATTAGAATGTAGGATTCAATATCATAATTTAATGTTTGTTTTCATTTGTATGGTTTATAAATGTTTTGTTTGTCCTTTTAATTACTGATAGATTATTCTACTGGCATGATTGATTTTAAAACCACTGCGAATCAATACAGACTGTCTCCATGATATCAACATTTGTCTTTTGTTTTTCCAAATCTTGTGCCTATCTTTTTTTTAAAAGTTGGATTGTCTAATGGAGTTGTAAGAATCTGTTGCTGTTTTTAAATTCTGGTTGGTACACGTCCCTTGTCGGGTCCACGTAGTGCAAACATTTTCTCCCGCTCCGTGACTTGCCTTTTCATTTTCTTGTGTCTTTCAAAGAATAACCACTTAAAATTTGCATTAAGTCCAGTTCATCATACTGTTCCTTTATGGTTTTTGCTTTTTGTGTCTTCTCTAAGAAATCTTTGCTTATCACAGTGTTGCAGGGATTTCTTGTGTACTCGCTTCAAGAAGTTTATAGTTGTAGCTCTTACATGTAGGTCTGTGAGGCATTTTTAATTTTTATGTGTGGTGAGGGTTGATGTGCGTTTTTCCATATGTGGATATCCCATTGTTCAGATGCCATTTGTGGAACAGACTTCCTATTTCCCATTGAATCGCCTTGGCATAAAGAGGGCATCATTTCGGGGGGCTTGCTCTTTTGGAAATGGAAGTAATCCTTTGGTATATCTTACCTTTCTAAAGTTGTAGGAATTCACCTGTGGGCAACCTGATTCTGGATCCCACTGTGATCCCAAATTGTACAGAGGCTGGGGGTGGGGGACGACACAGATGGCTTCAATTCCTTCAGCCCAGTTTGTCTTTTTTCTTTTTTTTTTTAAAGATTTTATTTATTTGACAGAGAGAGAGACAGCGAGAGAGGGAACACAAGCAGGGGGAGTGGGAGAGGGAGAAGCAGGCTTCCCGCTGAGCAGGGAGCCCGATGTGGGGCTCGATCCCAGGACCCTGGGATCATGACCTGAGCTGAAGGCAGATGCTTAATGACTGAGCCACCCAGTGCCCCTTCAGCCCAGTTTCTTAAATACTAATGATGTTTCTCTCTCCATCTTCTGCATTTAACTAGAAGCTGGCAAAGATTCCTGCCAGTGGACTTGGTGTGAATGTGACCAACCAGGACGGCTCCTCCCCATTGCATGTTGCTGCTCTGCATGGGCGGGCGGACCTTGTCCCTCTCCTTTTGAAACATGGTGCCAGTGTGGGTGCCAGAAACGTAAACCAAGCTGTCCCGCTCCACCTGGCCTGCCAGAAGGGCCACTTCCAGGTATGGGTCTTTCTCCTGGGCAGAGGGCATGGGGTGCTTGCTCTTGGTTAGAACTGTCCGTGGTGGGAATGCTGCAGAGAGGCAAGTTTGGGGGTGGGCCCAGAGGACAGACACATTTCTTTCTTCCCAGCCCCGAGATTCTGTGCTGCATGGGGCAAGACTGCTCAGCAACAGAACGCAGAACTCTGTTGCTTCTGGGGGTGGGCCCTCCCCTTCCCCACCTCATCCCCGCCCCCCCACTCCACTGCCATGCACCTCTCAGTGGCACAGAGGCCTCCTCCTGATTCTGACCCCAGCAGGAGCTGTCTCTGGTGCTTGGGTGTTGGTCATTGAGGGCTCTACCTGCAACTTGGCACCTTTCATCCCCACAGCCCTTGGTCTTTGTCAAACAGTTTAAGGCTTTATTTATTTTTTTAAGATTTTATTTATTTGAGAGAGAGAGGGGGCAGGGGGAGGGGCAGAGGGAGAAGCAGGCTCCCCACTGAGCAGGGAGCCCAGTGCGGGGCTCAATCCCAGGACCATGACCTGACTTGAGCTGAAGGCAGATACTTAGCTGACTGTACAACCCAGGCACCCCAGTTTAAGTACTTTATAGAGAATGGCCCTAAGGAGGAGGTGCAAGAGAGAATTGTGAAATGATTTGTTTTTCAAAGTCCTATATTTCTTTTTGAAAATTATCTATTTAAAACAATTTTTCCCTTACTAGCTGTACCGTAAGCTTTTAAAAGACAGGAACCAGGGGTGCCTGGCCGGCTCAGTCAGTAGAGCATGTGACTCTTGATCTCAGGGTCGTGAGTTCCCAAGCCCCATGTTAGGTGTAGAGTTTACTTAAAAAACAAAAATAAAAAATAAATAAAAGACAGGAACCAAATCAGATCTTCCATCTCTCTCGTAACACCTAACATAGCACTTCAAATGTCAGTTTCCCAGTCTATAAAACTGGAATGATAATTACAGCGCTCCATACATAGGGCTGGACTAATGATGAAATGAAAAAGAAAATAGTGCCTAGCACATTGCCTGGTGGAGGAGGTCCTCAGCAAATGTCTGTTGCACCCCGCTTGAGTTGGTCGGCTTTCTCCCGAGTCAAACATGTATCCAAAGAGCCTTCCCAGTAAACTTAGAGAAGAGTAAAAAGGATATCAAGTTAGAGGATTTCTTCCACAGATTTAATTAAGGTTGGAATTTTGTCTTCTCTGGGCTAGGTGGTGAGGTGTCTATTGGATTCTAATGCAAAACCCAATAAAAAGGATATAAGTGGAAACACACCTCTCATTTACGCCTGTTCCAATGGCCACCATGAAGTCGCGGCACTGCTGTTACAGGTAAGGGCCCCCCAGCCCCGGAGCTGCCGGGTACTCGTCAGTCGTGGGTGCCTCATTTTCTGGCATCCCCCCCTTTTTTTTTAAGAGAGAGAAAGAGAAGCAGCGTATGGGAGCCGGGGGTGGGGAGGGACAGAGGGAGAGGGAGAGAGAGGAGAGAATCTTAAGCAGGCTCCACATAGTGCAGGGCCCGGCGCAGGGTTTGATCTCACGACGCTGAGATCATGACCTGAGCTGAAATCACGAGTCGGACACTTATTGAGCCACCGAGGCGCCCCTCTGGCATTCCTTTTGATTGCACTGTTTCTCCTTCTAGCACGGGGCCTCCATTAACCTCTCTAACAATAAGGGTAACACAGCACTGCATGAGGCGGTGATAGAAAAGCATGTCTTCGTGGTGGAGCTGCTTCTGCTTCATGGGGCATCAGTTCAGGTCTTGAACAAGAGACAGTGCACCGCAGTAGACTGTGCTGAACAGGTGAGTGGGGAGCTCCCTTGCAGCTCACTCTGGCTTCCCCGTGGTTAAACCACATCTGAAATAGCAGGAGCCAACCTTTGAATCGTGACGCTGGGATAAGTCGGTGTGCCGGGAGTCTGCAGGTGCGGTCGAATATTCAGTCCTTGGTCCCCGGGTCAGAGGTGGTCTGCTCGGGGAGCCAGGAGTCAGTCTTTCAGGGCTTGCTTTCAAAGGACTGAGTGGAGGTGCTCCCCCGACTGCTGCAGGTGTCGGCGCCTTGTTCTGGCCCAGGGATGAGCCATCTGGTGCCCCCAGGGAAGCAGCGAGCTGAGACCGTGTTCTGGGCTCACGCTCCCTGCATGGGGACTGCACCTGCGGTCTTAGCACAACGGAGAGCGTTCAGTTGTGATTCTAAGTCTCCTGGAGTTATTCTCCCTGTAAGGGGAATTGTGATGACCAGGTCACCCCTCCTTCCCGTGCTGTTCCCTGCACAGGGAACTGGTGAGGAGAAGGCTTCCTCTCCTGGGAGGAGCAAGCTCTCTACTGTCCCCATTTTCACATTGAGTCTTTTTGTTTTTGACTCTGGGCAGACAGCTGGTAGGCTGTTAAGTGACACTGGTGTCATGTAAAAGTCACCATAAACCCAACATACTCATAGGCTTATCACGTTTTCAGTGACATTTCCTGACAGAATTGAAATATTTTAAACCTTCCATGAGCAATTTCTCAAAAGATGATGAGTGTTTTTTATCGAGTACTTACTATGTGCTGGGCCATCGATAACCCCATGAGAACTCTGCAGTAAGAGATCCCGTTCTCATCAGCCCCATCGCACAGGGCAGCTAAGTACCCGGCCTGGATTCCCTAGTAGAGGCCGAGCCAGGCTCCAACGGCAGGGCTGCTCCTCACCACGAGGCTCAATGGCATCAGCTTCATCTGTAGCTGCTGCTTAGCTTCTCTGCCCAGCCGCACCAATACTGACAGATCAAAAACAGCCAATAAGCTGCTAAGAATTAAAAATACTAATTGTTACCTTTTCCTTTCAAATTGTAGAATTCAAAAATAATGGAATTACTTCAGGTAGTACCGAGCTGTGTGGCCTCAGTAGAGGATGTTGGCGAAACAGACCACAAGGAGTACGTTACTGTTAAGATCAGGAAAAAATGTAAGAATTTACATTCTCTCTGTAATTCTCAATATGGGCATATTTGGAAATTCATGAGTAGTTGCTTGTGTTCATGTAATTGTGAATGTGGAATGTCATTATACTCATGACTGGGGGCGGGATAGGGGCACCAAAGAAATGTCACAACCTCGCTCATCAACTTGTTTTGCTACTGGTTTTCTGGTTGATTGGGATGATGCTTCCTAAGGGAATAAGGTGGCCACTCAGCCTCACCTTTGACGGCTCAGGCGTCCCCCACCAGCTGGAGAGAAGGAGCAGCCTCTGGGAGATTCTTACATGCCGCATGGCCCAGACCCAGGCCTTTTTCTAAGCATTTCCTGGACATCTGGGGCTCAGCGTTTCCTGCTAACTTTAAACGTTTTTATTTACTTATTTTATTTGCAGGTATACAGAGATTGTTGGTAATTAGAATAGTAGTTGCTAAACATGGATAGGTTGAAGTATTTTCTTTCTTTCTTTCTTTTTTTAGTTGTTAATAGTCTAGATTGGGTCCATGCTCTACTCTTTAAGATTTTTTTTTTTTAATCAATCTCTACACCCAACATGAGTCTCAAACTCACAAGCCCAAGATCAAGAGTCGCACCCTCTACCACCGGCTGAGCCAACCAGGCGCCCCTCTGGAATAAAGTGAATAAACCCACTTCCACCTCAGTAATCCCGAGGCTGTGTCACCACAGTTGCCTGTAGCTGGAGAATATCCGTGTGTTAATAAGGATGTATCTTTCCTTGCCATGGGGGTTCACACAGTAATAAATAGCTACTAATATGTTTCTTTAAGCAGATAGTAGTGCTTAATTTTCTAAATTTTGTTAAGCTAAGAAAATTGAAAGATAGGGGTGCCTGGGTGGCTCAGTTGGTTAAGCAACTGCCTTCGGCTTAGGTCATGATCTCAGGGTCTTGGGATCGAGCCCCAGATCGGGCTCCCTGCTCAGTGGGGAGTCTGCTTCTCCCTCTCCCACTCCCCCTGCTTGTGTTCCTGCTCTCTCTCTCTCTCTCTCTCTCAAATAAATAAATAAAATTAAAAAAAAAGAAAAAATCGAAAGGTTGCATCTGTGCTATAACTAATTAAACTACTTTGGAAGTTTTCAGATGTTTATCCTTTTATTTTAATCTACAGGGAACTCAAAAATGTACGATCTACCAGATGAACCTTTCACCAGACAGTTCTACTTTGTCCACTCAGGTGGTCAGTTTAAGTGAGTATAAAATTTGAGTTGATTTCTGTGCCTTTGACCCCACCTTTACTTACAACTCCGGCCAGGTATGTGCCCCTTCAGCGGGTTAGAGAAAATCTGCACTCACCAAATGCTGCCACCTCGTGGCCAACCAGAGTGTTTCACGCCACTATTTCAGACTGATTTCACTTTGTTTCCGGTTTCAGGGGAAGGACTTCAAGGGAGATTTTGGCAAGAGATAGCAGTGTCCCTAATTTTACTGAAGACTCTTTGCATGAGGTGAGTTATTCAATGCTGGCTTATCATATTTCTTAAAGCCTGGCTTTTCCAAAACGACTCTACGGTGAACACATTTCTCATTTCATGATTCCCTTCTTTGCAAGAATTTGTAACAATTAAGATGAGTTCGTTAGTGGGACAGCCAGGAGTACAGACTTCATTTATTGAGAAAGGAGAGTGAGGGGAAAATGGGAAATAGGGGTACGCATGGAGATTCTGGGGCTTATGGTGCGTGTACTTGGTGAAACAGCTCAGCTGCTGGTAGTGTGGGAATCACTGATGTCAGGAGGAAACCAAGTGTATATATAGATGGGTAAAAAACTTCTCCAGATGTGGTCTAGAGTTGCTCATATGGACAATTTTGCATGTGTCCATCTTCCTACAGCACTGCTTACTCAGTTATAAAGAGACACTTGCTTTATGTTCTGTCACACCTAATAAGGTGACTCTTCTCAGAAACGTGACTTTTCCTATTGCTCCTTGCATTACATGACTGTTGATGAGAAGCAGACTTTACAGCAAAGATGCAGAAGCTCTAAATCTTTGTTTTAGAGAATCAGAGTGATGTTTGTTAACATGACTCATTTCGATCTCCTATGTAACCTTTTGTGACTTTGCTAACAGACGTGCTACTGCATGGGAAACCCACAAACTCTGAAATCTGCTTGGGTTCCATCAAGCACTTTTCCCTTGTGAGCTGTGGGACTTCGTGCAGGTTGCTTCCATTTGCTGATCCTGTGTCCTCAGTTGTAAATGGGGACAGCAATTAGTACATCCCTGTTAAGAGTTATAAAGAGTAAACGTGCAAATAGGTAAAGCACTGACGTTGTGTCTGACACATGGAGTACACACACATCATCCTGTCCCCACGGGGGTGTCAGAGCTGAAATGCCCAGAAAGTACCAAGCACATGGGGTGACAAGCAGCACCCAAGAGCGCTGTTCTTGTGTGGTTCTTGTTTAAAGTGCAGTGCAAATGAACTGCTTGAATTGTACCATTTCTTCAGCCAGGGAGGCAAAGAGTCACAGGGAAACAGAACCACCTGCCAGACCAGAGCAGATCTGAGAGTGCTGACAGAGGGCACGGCAATCAGCCCGAGGGGCCTGGACCAAAACAAAGTGTTCCTGCAAACAGGCGGATGCTGCGCAGACACACGGTCGAGGACACAGTCGTATCCCAGAACCCAGGGACTGCCGGCCACCTAGCCACTTCCCGAGAGGCTGATGTCACGTCCCAGTCTTAGTGGCAATAAGCAGTTGTTACATTGGCTGCCAAGAAGTGAGTCCTTGGCAGGGAGGTGCCAAGCAGAAACACAGCTGAGAACTGAAATGTACTTTCTGTTGGATTTGCAAGAAAAGCAGAAAGGTCCTGAAAGCTGTTCTGTGGCTGAGGGAAGGAATGCGACCAAGAAAACGATCACCATCTCTTTTCTCTCCAAAGCTGGTGCGTGCGCTGGAAAAGGAGCGCACACCGACTCCAGCAGTGTCCAGATTCTTAAGAGCAGGCGTATGTTTCTTCTGAAGCGGCAGGAGCTCCCTGGCTCCCGTGCGAGGTTTCACGACCAGATTCTGACCTCCTCCTAACGAAAGGTGCTAACCTCCGTGATGTGGACAACGAGCAAACTGCAGGCCGAAAGAATTCCTCCATCTGGGATCAGCTGAAGAGAAGCAATTTAGGTTTCATGGTACCATGGAGGCCAGGCAGAAGCGACACATGTGAATGAGGAAAAGAGGACTGGAAAATGTTCCTTTGCAAAGCAGCACTTGAACCCAAAGATGCCTACATGCCGTTGTGATGTTCATTTTAATGAAAAGGACATTTAGGACCTATTCTACACTATGTATGTGGGAAAAGTTGGGTATAATTTTTCTTCCAACCAAGTACAGGTATTTGATCGCTGCACCTGTATCAGTCTCTTGAGACACATCCCCTTCCGTTAAAAACCTCCCTTAGATGTCACACCTGACTGATGGTTACTGAACAAGAGAGATTTGGCACATCTTTTCTTAGTCTTTTGATTCAGATTCAAAACTTACAGCACAAACCAGGTGAGAGTTACTTTCAGTTAGAATTTATTGCCATTTATTCCTTTTTATAAATTTCTATAGATTATACTCTTATTTTTTTATGTTACTAATTGGTCTACAGCCGCAAACATGGGTTTGTCCTGAGTACATTTTCAAGTAACTTTGTAATACAGAAATGGTTTTGTGCATGTTCTTGGGAATACTTGTGTATGTATAGAAGGGAGGGGCTGATTATTTTTCTACAAAGTAATTTATGATTTCTAATTTTCTAATGTGCCTTGGATATGTGCCAAATGATGGGAAAGAAACAGTAAACTTTATGATTCTTGAGCGTGTCATGGTACACTTTTTTAGTTAATGTCTTGTTCTGGAGAGAGAGGTATTTCGCAGCCTGTCTGCTATAAACATGTGCTCTGTGTATGGAAAGATCTCCCATTGGATGGATATACATTTTTCAGTTCCTGATGTCACTGAAATATGTAAACTGGATCATTCAGAGCAGACCATTATCCATTCACCTGCTTAGGCCTGACAATCTAGTAGGTACAAGGGCCCACAAAAATGTTTTTTAAAAAAATCAGATAAAAAATGAATGGAATACAGTTTCTTAGCCCAAAAAGAAAATAAGCACTGTTGCTCTGCAATTTCTTTGTTCTATTTTTTTTCTCCCAGTTTTGAAACAAAACCATCTTATTGGCAGGTTGTCGTGGTTTGCTCCCACCCTAATTAAGAAACTTATCAGCACAGCCAAGTTGCAAATATACACATTTAGTATCACCTATTTTTTGGGGTGGTGCAATATAATTTTGAAAATTTTCGTGTATACCCCTATATTTATTTCTAACAGTTCCCCTGATTGGTAAAATTGTCCCAGATGAAGAAACAGGTTCAGAGAAAGAAGGGGGCTGATTTGCTTGCACTATCAGAGCTGCGGTCTAGGCCTGCTTGGTGGGGTCATGTGAACTGGCAGTTTCCAGTGTGGTGTGTTCTTCTGGAGATACAAATACCTTGAGTGAGACTGTTTTAGGGGAGAAGCTCCTTCTTGAGCTACTCTGGTAATCAGCAGGGTGAGCTACCCAAAGTGACCACCTCAATTATTTTTAAAAACACTTGTTTTTCTACAAACTTACTTTTCCACTTAAAACTAAACTTGATTTGACAACTCAGAAATTGGTAATGCCCAAATTTCTATTCTGCTTAAGAATGGTTTGAATTCAAAGTATTGTCAATTAAATTAGAATAACCACTCTCCATTTCCTAGACCAAAATATACTCCACCCCCCTTTCTACCTTCCAGAACTTTCATCCGTGTGTACGGAACCACTTTCTATCCTCAACTGTCTCTGGAGGACAGGACAGGGGTTTGACAGTTTAAACACATTCACATAGGTATTTGCCATCGGGACAGTGGTTATTCTGTAGGAGGACGCATGTGACAAAACTTGCTAAGAATACTCTAGTCTCCCTCCAGCGTTTTTATGTAAATGAGACCTGAAACAAAGTTCACCTGTAATAAGGATTTTTTTTAAAATCCGAGGGAAATTTACATGACTATCTAATTCTGTTCCTTAAAAAAAAAAAAAATGATGGAACAGTTCTACTCATTCGTTTATTTGGGAATGCTAGATGCTCCAACATTGACTTTTTGGGCCGCAGTTCCAAATTTCAAGCCTCAAAAACAGTAACCTCTCAAATACACAGTTTAAACATAGATCAGCAGTATGCTAGCTAAAGCAGAGACTAGGATTGTAAACTACTTTTCCTGTTACTCTCCTGCTACTAATCCTAGTCACCTCATATAATGTTATGGACTTCCTCCTGGGGCTGGAATCTCTAAAGTTTACACCAAACAGCTCACCTGCCATGTCAATTTACTCACACAAGTTTCAAAACCTAGTGGGAAGACAACGTAAGACATACCATTTAAGTTACCTGCCACTTTATCAGTGAAGAATTCAGAATATTTCTACCAAAATGTTTAACTGCTAAACTATCTCAGCTGGATTTTAGTCATTAGAAGGCACTTCTCTTACCAACATGTTTATTACTGTTGGAAGTATTACTACCAGTATCTCCCAGTTACTGTGGTAATTTTCTGCAATTCAAGTATCACTCTAGTTACAGACTGTCTTGGGTAGGGGTGATATTTGTCAGATCATTTGATCTCAATGCCTTTGAAAAGCAGATTATAAATGAAACCAAAGCTATGAATTTTCTTATAGTAAATGTGAATACTACCTTCAGGAAGAACAGTTTACCTGGTTTCAGAACCTAGGTCTTGGAAATATTAGACGTTAAGTATTAGATATTAAAGTTGATCCCTCTTAATCCGTGGGTTTTAACTACCATGATGTTACTGGATGCTATTTTCTTCTTACTGAAGAGTAAGCTGGCTTCTATTTCTGCAAAGGCCATTATCCTACCTAACGCTAACATCACAGTTACAGAGGATGTATTCATGCTGCTACATGTTTCAAAACTTTTGGTAGGAAAGAAAAAATTCAAAATGCAGACCTTCTGTTCATTCAGCTATGGTACAAAAACAACTTTGCCCAAATTGTTTTATTTTGCATAACAAGTTTATTTTTTTAAAAGGCATATAGACAATAAACAAAGTAAATAATCAGATCTTCACTTCTACCCAGTATTATCTGTCCTAGAACTGTTCCATTAAGTTCCAGTCTCTAAACATCTTAAATTTCAATAATCGTCCTCTTCATCAGAGTCCATGACTTTTCTTCTGTTGAACTAGGGGAAGGGGGAAATTAAATGAGGGTCATAACATGTTTAATAAAGCATAACTCAGACTTTCTGAGAAGAACAAGGTCTACCTACTAGAGCAAGACACTACGTCTTTAAAACAGCTTAGTGTTTTAGGTCTATGGGGGGAGGGGAACGACAGACCCCTCAGCACGTGCAACCTTTCTCCCCAAACGTTCACCTCTTACAAAATGGAAATGTCTATGGGCTGAAACATTTTGTTACAGTAGATGTATATTTAACATTTATCACTTAAAATAGCAATCTTTTTCTTTTGCCATGAGCATTTGGGGACACTTACTTTAACTGTGGTTTTCTTTTCTGTTTGTTGGCTTACTTTTTCAAGGATTTCTATTAAACCTTGTTCTGATACCTAGGATAACCAGAAAGAAAAACAGTACTTTTTTTTTTAAACAGTGTGTGTACCTTAGTAGACTGAATGGTTTTAATTTTTCTGGGATGTGGGGACGGAGGTCAAGAGGGTAGGAAAGGCAAGACAGCAAGTTCTAAGTTGGCTTAAGTTCCAAAAGAATTTTGCTCTGCTAGCCTCATTTGAGGAGGGGGGGAAAGTAGCCATCAAAATTAGCTTTCTCAGGAAAATCCAAAGTCAACATTGTGTAAGAATACCTCTATCACCTCTAGCTAACAATGACAACCACCTACACCACTGTTAAGGGTCAGGAACAGAGACACATTGCCTCTGCCCTTGAGAAGCTTAAATACAAGACGCACCAATCGTTGTCTCTTCCACGTGCGCGCTTAGGGTAAGGGGTTCAGGGCAGGACTGATTCCCACAGGCTGTGAAGGCAGCAGGTGGTTTCCAGAGCAGGTGGGGCTCATGTGGATCTTGAAGGAAGGTCGGGCTCACCAGAATATACTCATCACGGCATTACAGCAGCATAATCAGAAATTTCAGCACCTCCTCATTTGCAGAACAAGCTTAACTTCTACCGACATTGGTAGTCTTTAATTGGTACCATTACAAACCTGTTTCCAGTGTAGAAGCAATTAGATGCTGACCCTAAGAGTCACTGGGTCACAAACACATCAAGGTTCCATAGCAACGTCGGTAAAGGAAATCAGAGAATTTTAGGAAAGGCAATTAAGTTATCTTTTAGGATTTATGGCAGATACTACAATTCTCTCCTTTATAAAATGCCTCACTGAAACAGTCAACAAGAATTTCTATAACCTTTCTGAAAATTGACCTTTTGAAGATTTTTTTTGATAAAGTTAGGTAAGAATAGGTAAAACTGCCTCAAGGCAGTCCAAGCTTACCTTCCCACTTAGTTGTCCATATCTTGCCATCTGTATGAGGTAATTCTCTACTGCTTTAGTTTTTTCGGGCTTTACAAGTGCTAAGTTACTTACTAAAAAGAAAAAGAAGGAGTCAAAACTAAATGCACATATATAAAACTATGCGCTAACATTTCCAAAGCACTTCACAGACATATTTTGAAACTAGCAAGGTAGGTAGGTGGGGCAGATGGTACTATTACCCCTCTTAAAAAGGGGAAATTGAAGTTCAGCCATGCCTCAGTCAAAGCCACACACAGGTAGTGGGAGAGCCAAGATTAAACTTGGATCCTGGGATTCTAAGCCTGATGTTTTTTTTTTTTTTAAATGATTGCCCTCTCGAACACAATTTCTCTACTACTACACATATATAATTGTGATGCTCCATCTAAGGCTGCTTCTAAGCTGGCCTTTAAGTCACAATACGAAAGATACTAGTTCATTCCGACTGGCTTAATTATTTTTTTCTACACTGTTTTGGTATTTATTATGAAGAATTCTGAACATACACTAAAACAGAGGCAATAAGCCCCCCACCAAGTCCCCTTCACCCACATCAACTACCAGTCACATTTTGTGATTGACTCGATTTACAAGTTGTTTCCTGTAAATCTTACCTAATGTGCACTTGGAGATCATCCCCGTGGTAAGAGAGAACTGAGCTGGTATTTTTAATAACTATTTAAATGCATTTCCTTAGGTTTATAAACTTCACATTTCTTACAATATTATCTGTATTGTGTTTAGGTTAAATACTTAATCCAGAATTAGCAATGATTTCATGTATCTTTCCCTATTCAACTAACTCAAGTCAATGTTATGGAAATAACTTAAAGGAAACTGAAGATGCTTACAACGGGCCCGGGCTGACTGATCCAGGACTTGGGCTAAGATACTGTTTCTCATTTCTGCTTCCCTACAACAAAAACAGGTCAGCAAAATTAGAACTATGCTGTCAGCATTCCTACTGAACATACAAAAATGGAACTCACACAATAGGTTTCCCAAGATGGAGCCCTCCCGTGTGCACGGACTGCATTATAGCAGGCGCTGCGCAGTGGCAGCACCCATAGTCAAGTAGAAGAGGCTACCTCTGCCCTCAGAAGCTGGCTTTACTTTATGTGGGTGTAAACCTACCAGGTTGAAAGGTAAAACTTTACATTTTCATAATTCAGGATAGAGTTTTAGTTTAACCACCACTACCAACATTTATTAAGTATGCAGTGTGTGAGAGGTTCTAGGAATTTGTAGTGAGAGTCCAAGCAATTAAAGGGCCAAACGATTAATCTGTCTGGTATTTTTGGAGATGAAGAAGCTGAGACCTAGGGAGGCTATCTTATGGGGACACGGATAATCATGGTCAAGCTAAAACGAGGCCCCATTTTCCTTTTCCTTTTTTTTTTTTTTAAAGATTTATTTCAGAGAAAGCACGAGAGCGCACACACACGAGCTTGTGCACCCAAGTGGGGGGAGGGGCAGGGGAGGAGGCAGAAAATCTTCAAGCAGACTCCTTGCTGAGTGTAGAGCCTGACGCGGGACTTGATCTCACAACCCATGAGATCATGACCTGAGCCAAAACCAAGAGCTGGAAGCTTAACCAACTGAGCCACCTGGGCTCCCCTGAGCCCCATGTTTCAAGACTCTCAGTTCCACTCTTTGAGTCACCAGAGGGAGTGACATTATAACACTGCAACTATCCTTGCAACTAGTTCAGGTTCACAGGACAGTGGTTTCAAACTTTTAAGTAGCAAAAAAAAAATTTTCCCCCAATGAAGTCCTTTAGGGAACTTAATACACAACACAGACAAAAGCAGATCCTCTGGCTGAATTAGAAGGGGAGCTGGGGCTGGCTGTACCTACTAACCACCCCTACCTGAGGAGCTTATAGCCCACTTCCACAGGCCATTTCCTTATGGCTCCTGAGTACTTCAACCCTGCTGTGAACTACCGTTACTATATTTCACTGAATCTGAGATGCCATTGGTTGTAAGATGCACCATAGTTTTATATACCTCTAAGAACAACAACAACAAAACACCCTAGATGAGTCTAATAAGGAGACCCCTACTCAAAGCTGGGGCATCAAAGAGTAACATCCACAGTACAAGGTAAACAAAAAATAAACCGGCCACACAGAAAGGGACAGCAAGGAAGGATGCATGAATCAGCCTTGGCCCTGAGTGGAAGAGGAAAAAAGTTCCTGAGAGTTTGAACTTCAAGTTCTTGCAGGCCTTACACTGCTTGGGGGGAAGTGGAATCTAAGGCACAGAATTTATTTTTAAAACATCTCAGGTTAGAAATGTACCCAAGTGATGGCAGAAGCAAAAATAAATCTTCTCTGGAAGAATCCAGGACAAGAGTGATCATTTATGAGACCTAATCTATGTTAAAAATGTGAAAAAATGTACATCTTAGAATCAATGAAATTCATGTAGTAGTTTTATTTTTTTCTTAGCACCATCTTTCTTCTACCACTAACAAGCCATGTAAGGACGGAACCTTCTCTGCCCTGCCTGTTTCTATAGATCCAACACAGTGCCTGACCCAGACCTAGTGCTCAATGAATATTTGCTGAATGGTGGCACCTTGGTGTCTCAGTTGGCTGAACATCCAACTCATGATTTTGGCTCAGGTCATAATCTCAGGGTCATGATATCTGGAGCCCAAGTGGGGCTCTAAGTTCACCGGGGAGTATGCCTGGGATTCTCCCCCCTCTGCCTCTCCCCTCACTCACATGTGCACTCTCTCTAAAATAAATACATTTTTTTTTTTTAAGATTTTATTTATTTGACAGAAAGAGACAGCAAGAGAGGGAACACAAGCAGGCAGAGTGGGAAAGGGAGAAGCAGGCTTCCCGCTGAGCAGGGAGCCCGATGTGTGGCTCGATCCCAGGACCCTGGGATCATAACCTGAGCCGGAGGCAGACGCTTAACGACTGAGCCACCCAGGCGCCCCCTTAATAAATACATCTTAAAAAATATATATATATATTTGCCGAATGAATGAATTAAATGGCAGCATGATGTGGAGGGAAAATGTGTTGTTGTTCAGTAAGTATAGTTTGTTTTGCAAGATGGAAAAGTTCTAAAGATTTGTTACATAACAATGAGAATATAAACTTCACACTTAAAAATTATGTAAATTTTATGTCTTATTTTTAAAAATCACAATTAGAAAGAAGAAAAGGTAGCATGGTGAGATAACTAGGTCTTCATTCAATAAACCTGCAATGTATGAGGTGCCCTGCCATGTGCTGGGAATAAAATAGCAGTAAGAACAGTAAATGTGAGGCACTGTTCCCATGTAATCCTCACAAAATCCCTATGAGGTAGTCCTATTATGAGGCTCATTTTAAGGTAATCACAGTTTAGCAGACAAGCAAACATCAACCAATTATAATACATGTGGAGTTCTACACACGTTTCTTCAATTAACAAATTAATAACGAAACTACTCTGATTACTTACGGAAAAATCTCTACGCTAGGAAAAACTTTAAATTTACACGCCTATTAAAATAACTAAACTAAAAAAACAATTCGGTGAAACCCCCCCTTCAAAAAGTTCAGAGCTCCAGCCCATACCTGTGTTTTGCTTCCTGTTGTGCTGCATCGCCAGGATCCTGGAAAAAAAAAAATCGTGTCTTTTTAGTAGAGTAATTTCACATAAAAAAGTAGGAGCCACTTTCTTGTTTCTGATACTTAAGGCTCCTGCAGTGGTAGAGATCAAATTATTACCAAATGATTAAAAGCTGGGCCTCACAAAAATCAGTGGGATAGTTCCAACTTACTGCAAGGTTTCGATAAGCTTCTAAAATCACAATCTAGCAGAATGTTTTAAACACAAGCAACCATGAAGGAGGGGAGTCCCCATACTACGAAACCGTAGTGTAAGAAATATTTCTGGATAGTAAAATTTGCTTCGTTATTGGGGACGATGATTCACTCGCCGCTTCCCGGGAGACCGTCCCGCTCCAGCCCTACCACGGTGGTCCCCTCCCCGCACAGCGAAGTCATTAACTTGAGCACTTTATCTACGGGATTCGTGGTTGTGTGGCTCCTCCCCGGGACCATCAACTCCGTCAGAGAGGATGTTCCCCTCTGTACCCGCAGCACCTGGCACACAGCAGACCTTCAAACAACGTCAACTACTTGGGTCAGAACACCCGAATTCTAGGAAACAATTCGGCTGGAAAGCAGTCGGAGCTGGCTAGACCCGAAGCTAAGGGGACCGAGACAGCTGAGGGGCTGAGCATTCCGCTCCGGAGCGACGCCGACCCGAAGAGGCCCAGCGCCGGACCGTCCGGGGACCGCACGCGGTCGGCCTGGCGGCCCAGCGCCCACCCGCCCGGAGGGGCCGAGGCCGGCCTCGGGGGCAGCGGCGGGGTCCTGGGCCCGCGGGGCGAGCTCCAGCCGCTGCGTCCCAAGCCTCCGCCCGGGGCCGCGCCCTTCACCCCGGGCGAGCGCGGCGCCCGGCGGGGACCGGCGTACTCACCCCATGTTTCGCCTGCAGTTCGGCCAGCCTCTGTTTCCTCAGAGCCTCCAGCTCCTCCTCCGCCATGGTGCGGCAGTCCGGGGACGAGCAGCCACAACCACGCTCCGAGGGCTCTCCCGCAGCGCCCCGGCGCGCGCACGACTATCCCCACTACGCAGGCGCGCGCAGCGCCCAGGCATCACCAATCCAGCCCGGAGCTGCGCCGCCCGCCGCAGCCAGGGCGCCGGGAGAGGCCCGATTGCGCGATCGCAGGCGGTGGGGCGGCGCGGGCCTCCTGGGCAGAACCAGCGCCGAGCCTTCGCGACTCCAGTCCCACCTCCTCGCCCCCACTGGACGCGGTTCTCGCGCTGACGCGGCGGGCTAGGGTCGCACCTCGAGAGGGAAAGGATAGTAATGTAAAAACAGACCGTCATCAACAAGTTTAATAATAGGTAAAATCTGCCAGTGGCCGATCCGTGCTAGCCTCGTGTTATCTCCATTTACAGTTGAGGACGCAGGGATTCAGAAAGGCAAAGTGGGCTTAGGGAAATGTCCAAAAACTGGATTGCGGTGATAGTTGCACCACTCTTCCATTTGCTAAAAAGACACTAAATTGTACACTTAAAATGGGTCAGGGGTTGGGGGCTGGGGGAGGGGATCGGGAAGAAGACAGTCGCTGTCACCCG